CGATGGTGATTGATGGTTGTGGTAGATCTTGAGGTGGGGTTGTGCGAAGTGTGCCACCGAAACTCTCAGGAATTAGATTTTCTGTCATGGTCGAAGTCTTCAGCATCAGAAATGAGGAGACGCATCTTTTCGATCAATAAATGAGATGCTGTATTTAACATAGTGTCCCTTAACGACATATTCAGAAATGAGATGGAATATTTTGATTTCTCTTCGTAAAATCAGTCACAATTTGATACCACATTACAACAATCAATTGGGAGAAGCGTCCGCATTTAGCACGCCCTGCACCCATTTAGCCATGTCAACTTGCTTTTGTTCCGACATCGCAATCCACTCATGGGATGTCAAGGCTCTGAGATCACCCCGTTCTCTAGGATTCCTCTTGAGACATCGATCCACGAAATGTTTGAACTCTTTGGTGAAAATTCCAGGGGCAGACGGGATTGTGGGCGGTGCTTCGTTAACAATATATTCCAGGAGCTCGAAGATCGACAATTCCTTCTGTGGATTCGATTCGTCCACGTTAACTGTTTCGGTGCCCTTGAATGGAGTTCCTAAAACGCTCGAGAGATACTGATGGTTTGGAGGAGGAATCGGATACCGTCCGAGAGCCATCTCTACGAGCGATAGCCCGAGAGACCAGAAATCTGACGACACGGAATAATGATCGCCTTGTAGCCGTTCTGGAGCCATGTAGGATCGGGTGCCCACGAACGAGTTTGCCATCGAGTCGATCAACTGGCCGGAAACACCGAAATCACAAAGTTTGATCTCGCCGTTCGTGTTGACGAGAATGTTGCTAGGCTTTACATCGCGATGCATGATGCTGTGTTTTTCCCGCAGATAACTCAAGCCTTTCAGCACAGCGATTGTGACCTGGAGGAAATTACACCAATTAGCACCCGGATTGAGAACGATATTCTTTCGGTGGGTATCCAGGCCATAACAACCTGTTGACAAGTCCGCCCCAATACAAAAGTGCCTTCAAACATATGGATGAGTGTCATCAGCAGGATGCAGACGGATTTCAATACACAGGAGGAGCGCCGAGATGTTTGAGGTCTCACTCCCTTCCAAGGACCTCTCGTCGAATTCGATCGATCGGGATTGGGGGAGAATTTTCAGGATCCTAATGGAATGATCCGCTCAAATCGCCATGATCACGTGAAAAATTCAGCGAAAGTTGCTTACCTTCCCTAAAACATCCTCCGGGATCCTTTTTGCTTTTGGTAGGAGGAGATCCAAGGATCCACCGTCCATGTATTCCATACAAACATTGATTTCTCCGTCGGAATAAAATGAGCCATAGAAACCCACGATGTGGGGTGAGTTACACTCGTCGAGAACGCGGAGTTCTCTGATGATCTGGTTCCGGGTAGCCGGCTTGACTTCGAGGTGGATCATCTTTCGCGCCATAATGAGACCGGATGGTCTGTGAAGCACCTTGGCGACAACCCCGCCGTTACCTGAACCGAGCTCTCCCAAATTGTCAAAATCCTCGGCGCACAGATCCTTGCCCTTGAGTCTCTGTTTTTGATAGAGGAAACGCTCCAGTCTGTCTCTTTGTTCTGGGTTGAGCTCTAGATCCCCGAGACTGTTCATCACAACTTCCACAGAGTTGTCGCGAGTAATATGGCGGCGAACTTCACCGCCACTTCCATTGCTGTCTCCAGGCTCCACAGGACCGATGGCGGGAAGCTTCAGGTTCAGTTTGTTTTTAACACTGCTCTTCATCGTGCCGTGAGCCGATTGAGGCTTCTGAGTGCCCTTCAGAGCTCGGGACCCTCGATTCAATGGAGCTTTGGCGCTCCCTTCCTTCACAGCGGCGTAGCGTCGTCGAGTGGCGAGTATCCGAGGAAAGCATGAGCAAATGATGACTATGATCCTTGCTAAAAACAACAATCGAGGGGCGGCCCGTCCGCGCGTCGTGGGGAATCATGGATGAAATTTTCGAAATCAGATTGCCAGGGGTTCGCTCACATTTAGTACCTTTGTCCCCTAGGTCTCTTACTCAACCAATAGTTACATGAGAACCTTCAATCTCGGAATAAATCACTGTTTACTATCCGTTATTCTACTCGAAATCCCTGTGTGTGTATCCCTTACTTCTCGTGCGGTCTGAACCTCTGCCCTGATCAGGGCCAGCTCTGGACTAGAGTACAACATCTGAATTATATGAAAGATAGCGGATATGAAAGGTTCATGGCACAGACTAATCAGACGTAATCAGTGTCTCACTATGAGAGAACCCCATGTTGGAGTGAGCGAATATGGAAGTCGCTGTCTTGCATCCGCGATTGCAGAGCGCGAGGTCCGAAACTGTCGCAGTACCCTCGGTTTCGAAGAACATAAGGACCGTACCGGTTGAGTTCGCGCGCTCCGCTGACTTTTGATGATTTCGATTCAATCGATAGCTGTCGGAGTTTCCGACCATTTCTCGAGAATGGGATATCTCGGCTTCAACAAGTCGTTGATGAATTCAGATAACGTTCTGTGCGGAGAAAGGTCTTCTAAAGGGATGGGGTCAGGATCGAAACCACCGTTTTAAGGAAATCGTCGAAATATCGAAGTACTCAAGCAGAAGTTTTCAAAAAGACCGATCGCCCTCAGTTCCACAAGCGAATCCGGGAACTCGGCGAAAATGCAACCGAATCGTTTTTTTCATGATCGTTTTTCGGCCACGGCAATCATATCGAAGAATGAGTCCCCCGTTCCATCAGAGCACATCGCATGGTAAACTCAGCTGAACTCATTAGTTGGTCCGCGCCGTACATTTATTTATTCGTTTAGATCAGCCTAATTTCGCGTAGTTCACACCTACGACGGATCGCAGAGGCGATCACGGTGATTCGATGGCTCTGTCAGGAACATCATCCCAGCGCTGACTCTCCCGTCGGATCCCGTAATTCCGTTGCTTCCGGATTCGGGCCTGAAACCCCGAAATTGCATATTTTCGACCTCAATCAGTGGAGGGCAACGAGCGGCCAAGCGTCGATGGTGGAACTCATCTCATGCTGAATGATTGAGCCTTCGACTGCTCTCTTCTTGGATTCGGTGTGACCTTGAGACATACCTATCTCCAGGATATTGTGAGTCAGAGCAGGCACCGCTTGATGCAGTACCTGAGTTTCGTTTCCGAATGGTACTCCGACTCCATACCGTGGATGAGATCGATGAAGGGGCGATCCTTGCTCGTCGAGAAATATTCGAAAATTCGCGCCCTCGTCCAGGAAGCTGCGCATGAAGGAATCTCGAACACTTCCCTATCGATTCCTTCGTCCGCGAGGACTTGGATGACTGGGCCCGCTTCTGATATCACTCACGACTCATCTCAGGACACCTTCCGCCACCTTTCACTCTAATACACTTGAAAATAACGATTAGGTAGCTCTCATATCCCTTGGTTTGCAGCGCCATCTCTAAGACTACGTGCCGGCGGCGGTGCAGCACTCGAGTTGACATTGAGCTCAGCTGATCACGCTTCGCGGACACAGGTCGCTCGAAGATTCTTCTGTGAATACTCCCTGCGGAATTCCCCCAATCATGGGTGCCTTCAGCAAACTCGGTCTGGACAAGCTCGCTCTGAGTGGCAAGAGAGTGATCATCCGAGTGGACTTCAATGTCCCAATCAAGGAAGGCAAGATAACCAACAACCAGCGCATCGTGGCTGCCCTACCCACGATCAAACATTGCTTGGAAAAAGGAGCGAAGGCGGTGATACTCATGAGCCATCTCGGAAGACCCGATGGCAATGTCAACGCGAAATATTCACTGGCACCGGTTGCCGAGGAACTGAAGAAACTCCTGAGTAAGGAAGTCACCTTCCTCAGCGATTGTGTCGGCCCCGCGGTGGAGAAAGCCTGCGAGAACCCTGCGGTCGGAAGTGTCATCCTCTTGGAGAATCTCCGCTTCCACATTGAGGAAGAAGGCAAGGGAGTCGACGCCGCTGGGAACAAGCAGAAAGCCGACGCTGAAGCGGTGAAGAATTTCAGAGCGTCTCTAACACGTCTTGGGGATATTTTCGTCAACGACGCCTTCGGAACGGCTCATCGAGCTCACAGTTCCATGGTGGGTATCACGTTGCCGGAACGAGCAGCCGGCTTCCTGATGAAGAAGGAGCTCGATTACTTCGCCAAGGCGCTCGACAATCCCGCGAGACCTTTCCTCGCCATTCTCGGTGGAGCCAAGGTCAAGGATAAGATCCAGCTCATTGAGAACCTTCTGGACAAAGTGAGTTATCTCGGGAGAATAATCTGTGTTTATGTGATTTTGCCCCTCGGTCTGTCGCATACCTTATGTTGTAATGACTTATGACCCTTTATGGGAATGAAAATCTCGTTCGAACATTCCTATACATCGAATAATCACTTCCCAGGTCAACGAAATGATCATTGGCGGAGGGATGGCGTACACTTTCCTCAAGATCAACAAGGGAATGAAAATTGGAACCTCCCTATTCGATGAGGACGGAGCTGCGATCGTTGAGAAACTCCTGGCCAAAGCCAAGCAGAATAACGTAACCATCCACCTGCCTGTGGATTTCGTCACCGCCGACAAATTCGACGAGAATGCTACCGTCGGTAGTGCTACCGTCGAAACCGGAATCCCCGATGGCTGGATGGGTCTAGATTGTGGACCTAAGTCGATCGAACAATTCAAAGCCGCTGTCGGGAGAGCGAAGACCATCGTCTGGAACGGTCCTGCCGGCGTCTTCGAGTTCGAGAAGTTCGCTGCAGGATCGAAGGGTATCATGGATGCTGTCGTTGAAGCAACGAAGACAGGCGCAGTCACGATCATCGGTGGTGGAGACACAGCGACCTGCGCTGCCAAATGGAATACCGAGGATAAAGTTTCTCACGTGTCCACTGGTGGAGGGGCCAGCCTCGAATTGCTCGAGGGAAAAGACCTCCCAGGCGTTGTGGCCCTCTCCGAAGCGTAAGGGTCTTCGGCTTACCGATCAATGAGTCTGTGTTAAGTTTCCTAAGTCACTCCTAGAATCAGCCGAGTATTTCAGAGCGACGTCTTCTCAAGATCCCGGAGTAATTGGTGCATGGATGAGTCGATTTAAAAGTTTGATCGGATAGATATTTGACTGGAACATTTTTTGATCGAAATAAAGTAGTGATTCATCATCTTCAACAAAATCGCGTCGCATTTGGATGATCAATCTCACAATATGATCTGCGGGATAGGGAGGATCCGAGTATCGCATCGGTCGGAGCTGTAGCCCCTCGATTTCAAACGCTTCGTAGCCATACCTTCATCGCAGTTTTTCGGAAACAGCCACCAGCAACTACTCGCTAGCTACACTTGAGAGCTTCCGGGGTGGCGGGAAGAAATCTGCGAAATCCCTCAAGGGCTGTGAGGATGATTCCGCTCCAAGGGAGGACTCCCCTCTCGTAGCGGTAAGGGAATCGATGTCGTCGGCATTCAAAATTCCGCGCCTCCTGCCTCGCTTTTCCCTCGCCACAATTGACGAGCCGCGCGCGACCACCTCTCACTTGCGAGACTTCCTCTGTTTACAAAACACGACGGCGAATCGAATTTTGGATGAGCACATGGGAAGGATGTCCTGGATTACGGCAGGAGCTCGTGACCCTTCGCGCGCACTCTCGACATGACCGAGCCGTGAACGCTCCATGCTCGTCAAGTGTGACGTGAAGTTATGGCCGGAGCGACATGTGCGGATCACACGTCAGCTCGGAGAGAATGAAAGCGACGAGCGTGTATGCCTCCCCTCATTGATCCACCCGCGGGATCAGGACCATCCCGATGAACCGAAATCTCCCTAGAAGGAACGCCAGCCCAGAAAAATCATCGGCAGAAAATCGAAACTCTCTCGCAGCGTGAGTTTTGACGAAAATTCTCGTCTTTCAACGACTTGGAAAAACATGATATACGAAACCGGCTGCAAGTGCCTTTTGAGGGGCGCTCGGAAGTGGGTTATCCGATTTCCGAGAGTCTTACTTGTTAGCTCCCATTACCACTCAGGAGAGAGAGCGCTTGATCGACCGCTCTGTGTTTCATCTGAAACATGATTCCTTCCAGATAATGCTGAGAACTCTCCTAGTCAAACAATTCATCGGTGACCTCTCTGTGGATCAATGTCTGGATGTTTCTGATCGACAGGACATATCAGTGATAGTGAGTAATCAGATCCAGATATGGAGTTTGCCGAAGTACCCCACGGATGGCCTGTTCCCAATGCAACTCGAAACGGTCACTTCAGCGGATGCCGTGCTGAATTTGACAACCGGTGAGTCCATTCATTCACAATTTGAAGTCGAATTCATTTTCCTGCCGGTATGAAGCTTTATTCACTGACTAGTTATCTGCATCAGGCTTATTCTCGCAAGCGACGGCGGAAACCAAATTCTCGAACAACGATGCCATGTACGTGTATCTGGATCATACGATGAGCCCCGAAGACGAGCTCCACGGACTTCAGCGTCGTTCATTCAGAATGGGGCGCTGGTCACCGGCAGCTTTGAGCTCCACGGAGTGTGTCCTCGCCACGCTCCAAGTGGATCACCGTTTGAGGCTCCACCGTTACATTCAGCGAGAATGGCAGGTGAGCTCGGGCGAGGGCTTCCGGATCCCTGGCTCTAAATGGCGGTAGCTCGTCCTCGTCTTATCTCGCACCGGCCGGGGTTAGCACCTCTCTTCTCCCCATGATGAGGAGCAGAGTTTAATCTCGAACTCACAGGAATTTTTCACTGAATACAGGTCGTCACTGATGTGAGCGAAGCGCTGAGTGAGTTCGTGCGAAAGGAGAATCAGTCGGAGATCAGCCAGCTCGCAGATATACGCCAACACTGGGAGCACTTCACGCTGGCTCGCTCCATAGTCCATCGTATGGCGATTGTCAACTTTGCTTGGGCGGTGCCCTCGCATTTCGATCGACGATTACATTTGGCTTTGGCTCTGAAAGACGGCTCGCTTCGCTTTGTAGTCGTGCAGGTATCTGGCGAAGCTACCGAGCTGACGATTTCGCCGTCGAGTTTTCGGCCAATCACCGGAAACGAGGCCCAGCTCGCCGTCGTCTGTTTACGCTGTGTTGCACTGAACGAAGACGTCTTCGTCGTCCTTGTGGGTTATTCGAATGGTCTCTGCCATGCTGTGAAAGTTCAGAGAGATTGTACCTACGATTTCGGGGAGGCCGTGGCGTTATGGAGCGAAGACGATGACGTCACCCCGAAAGAAATGTTCTGCACTGCCAGAGAAAACCGCCTGATCGTGACAATTGTTAAAGGGGCTTGGCTCTGTTTAGCTGCGATAGATTTAGAAACGATGCGTACGGTCGGAGATGTTCTCCCGATAAAAACCGAGGGCAGGTCCGAGTGCACAAGCTGTCATCGCACGAACATCCCAGCCGCAGACGATTACCTCGAGAGTTTACTCTTGACTTACCCGAATGAGAAGACTTTGCATTGCGTTATATCGGAGAATCTCACCGTTGAGGTTCGGAACCTCAGCATGGAAGTGACACACGGATATCGCGCCGTCGGAAGCGGGGAAAGCTACAACGGGGTGCTCCTGTACGTAGTGGAGAAAATGGCTTGCATGTCCGACAAACTCATGCTAACCGGAGCGAACAAGCTCAAAATCATCTCCACGGTGCCTATAGAGAACGCGACGGCAACCATCCTTAGTATTTTCGAGCACAGTGGAAACATGCTCTTCCAAATCAAGGACTACCTCGATATACTATTTTACAATTACCAGAAGACGGAGCGACTTCCTGAAGATCTATCGTTCTATTTAAGGGAGGAAAATCTGGCGTCAGATATTCTGAAAAACTATAAGACAACCCAGATTCTGATAATTCGCTTGCTGCTCCTCTGGAGTCCACCTGCGAAACGGAACACGAAAGTACTGTCCGAGCTAGCGAAAGAGACGCTGCGACGAAGATATCGCTTCATTCTCGCGAATAATCACAACCAAGATGGATTGAGTGAGGTTCAGCGGCGTTCCTTGGTCCTTTTCGCTGACTTCCTCCAGGACTCGGAGCCAGAACTCAGCAGGGAGGCTTACGTTTCTCTGAAGTGTACTTCCCCGAGCCGCAACGCACGAGACTCCTGTGAACTGTGTGATGGCGAGGTTCGGTTGAATCTCGACGATCCCAGCATTGGATCGTGCTCCCGTGGTCATCGAACCAGCAGATGCATGTACAGTTTGTTATTATGTCGCACAATCGATCAAATGAGTAGATGTCTCACGTGTGGATGGTATGCACTCAACGGAGAAATATGGGAGAAACCCGTTGAATGTTTGCTCTGTGGTCTGCCTCTGAGTGCTTATCCCTAGAGGGAACGAATCCCTTCTATTCAGAGACTCTCCGCGCGAGGTACTTCATCCGAGGAGGGACACAACTTCCCTGACTGAAGATGATATCGATCGTCGCTTCAAACGACCGCTGTTTTCTAAATAAAATTGTTATTCTCGTCAAGCGAAGTTCTTCTTTCAGCGACATTCGATAACGCAGAAGTTCCCGTGCCGAGCAAAGACGCCGGATCCTGGAGTATATCAAATACATATTCATCTCATCTACTTCCATGAGCTCCGTGGCCGCTTTACTCGCCCGCCAGAGGAGCCCTTTATCGCACACCCTTGTTCCAGTACACCGTCCGCTCAATCGTTGGCGAGTCCGGCAGAGATCAGGGGACGCTTCTGGACTCGATTCTGATCATTCGACGCCCGGAACGACGGAAGCCGATGCACCTGAATTCTTGACTGGAACGGACGGTTCAATCGATGTAGCCCTCGGGCGGCTTGACCACAGCTCGCGGCACTCCGGCAGCCTGCGCCGGCGCGGTGTCATCCTGCCCGGCATGCGATGCTCTGTGAGCTTCTATCGTCTCGTGCAAGTCTCCGTGCTTCACGCTCGAAATAATCTAAGTCGGTCTACGTTAGCTGGGGAACTTTCAGAAATCACTTCCTCGTTTAACCTTGGAGTAGCGCTCAGGAATCGATAACACCGGTGGATTCGCTGTTCGAAGGTCCAATTGAAAATCTCCAATGATCTCCCGATCAGGGTGTTCAATGTGATTCCGTGAGCAGAGAGCATGATTATTTCTCGGGGTCTGCGCTCACTGGCATCCCAACAACGCTATTCCGGAGCAGCACTCGGATCAATTTGAAATATAAGTTTCATCCCGAATAGCGGCCAGATGGCCACACAGGATGAGGTGGATATGGTGATTCCGAGCCGTTCGCTGCTCCTCCAATAACGAGAACTTCCACGTTTTTTGCGTGAAAATCAAAAGCCGGGCCTCTGTACCTCGATTCCTCTGCCCCGGCTCGGAGTTTCTCGTTCCTCCCTATCGGGAATGCGGCGTTCGCGTCGGGAGAGGCTCACTTGGCCTCCACCGCGGCCTTGCTATCTTCCAGTAGTCTGAGAACGAGAAGTCGTCGAGTTTCATGTTCATACCATCACATTTTTCACCTCTTCTTTTTTTTGTGCATATGGATTGATTGATGGATGAATGAATCGCTAATAATTGGATTTTCGAACCCTGTCAAACCCCCCTCCCCCCCTTGAACATAGTCTATCAGTATATTCATGAATCCGACCTTATAATCGTGAATTGATCGGACATGATTATTGATTCACGCTTGACGTGCCATGACCCGACTCGCACTCATCTCGATCACTCCGAGATTCCGCATGTGACGATTCTAGACCGGCTCATCCGAGGTGGTTCTCCGAATCTTGCGCTCCTTCCACTCATTTACTGCGGTTTTCGAAGGAGTGAATCAGGATTCCTCCCCGAGCGCTCTTTCGGTAGGATTGTTTAATATCGTCATCCCTCCGCAGTCTCACCGGCACCAATTCTGCATTTCAGACAGCTCTTCCGTGTCCATTCTGCATCCTTGTGTGCGTCTCGCTAATACCCGTGAAATCAGGTGGATACAGGACATCCGACACTGACATGGGTCGTCATGTTGTAAACCACCACTACCTCCCCTCATCTCCAAGCTATCGATTCCGACTTCTCGTCGATAGCCAGTCGTGAGACGCGATTGAGTCCTCTACGATGGCCACGGGGACCAAGGATGACACAGGGAACCCGGAGTGACGTCATAGCGACCTCCCTCACTCTCCTTGGAGAAGACCAAAACAAGGCTCCATGTGGCGGCTGAGAACAGCCAAGCATACAGGAACAGCCCTCCGCTAGTAGTCATCCGGCTTGTCGTGTCTTCTCCGCGGACGAATTCCATGAGACCAAGCAGAGGTCGCATCTTACTTAGTCGATTCGAGCTACGGTGAATACGAGCCATTTGACGGATATAGCTATTGGATGCGATTGTGCGCACACAGATCGCATTCTCAAGCTACTCTCGAGCTACGACAGGAACACTCTAAATCGGAATGGCCGATTTTGTTCCCTTATCGCGAAGCTCCAGCGTACGGAGTTTCGTGAGATCGCCTTCTCTCGAGTATTTCCCCGCTGGCCAATCGGTGAGTCACGTTCCTGCGTATCCTTGCTCTGAGCCATTCATTCTCCTTCTCCGAGAGTTTTCCTTTTTGCGAACATTCCAATCAATAGATAGCCGCAGCTCGAACATCGCCGGTGGTTCTCGAGGGAACGGACGGTGGACTTCCAACCCCGCTGATTACGAACGATGAAAATAAATGTAGATGGCCTCAATCATGAGCGGCGCGGCGCGGTCGTTACGACGGGAACGATAGCACTCGTTTCCAGCCTTTTAGGATCGGAATCATCCTCTGCCTCATCGTGCGATAGCGTAAGCAGCTCCTTCGAGAGGAGGCTGATCCGTCCACTTATGATAGAAATACCTGTGAGAGCCTCTTCTCCTCATCCCGGAGTCGTACCTCCTCCGGGGCATCCGACGTCCTCACAGGGGAATGAAAGGAGGGAGCATCTGAGGAAACTGGTTCCGAGTTCTGGAGGCAGTTTTTCCCCGGTGTGAGACCGCAGGATGGGAACGAGACAGCGACCGTTCTCGTTCGTTCTTGTGCGACTTGCCACACCACGATAGGGACTTCGACAGAGTCCAGCGCGGTCCCTACTGTCCGGAGAAATTACGACGCAGAAAGCTCGCTCGTCGCGAAGCCTGATCGAGGACAGCCGCTCATCTCAATGACCGAAGAATCCCACCTGCCAGGAACGTCTTCCGCTCGGGCTACAATCACACTCCATCAGACTTGAGAAAAGAGAGACCTATTCGAAGGCCTTTCTGTGAGTTCGTCGCTCCATTCATGAGCGATCCCAGAAGCTCGAATCGCGTTTCCTTCACGGGGGGAGGCCGCTTCCAGCCCGGAATCTCCCGGAGCGTTCATTCCCAGCGACTATGGGCTCGTTTCGAAAATGTCTGACAGAATCTGGTTCTGGTCGGAAATAACCTGACCACCGTCGGGGACATGGAGGCATCAAAAAGCTTTATCTATCCGCCACTGTGCCCGCTCATTGACTCATCTATTCCCACCCGGGACAGAGCCGAGTCCCGAAGTAGCGTGGGCAGATGTTGGCGCCGCCAAAGTTGATGAGGCCGATGCGGTGCCGATGCCGACTTTCACTGACCGTGAAAGTCTTTAATTTAGCACTGAGAGGTGCTAAAATTTTACAAAAAACATCCTTCGTGATCTATCGAGTCGTGTCATCCGTGACAATGAATGGCCGCGCGACCAGGGCTTCAGGTGGCTCTTCGGTTTTACGTTGGACTTACGACGCATTTCGCCAGAGGGCGCCGATCATCGATGCCGTGCCGCTGCCAGCGGTACCACCTATGAACACAAAATACCGGCGGGCGCCGCCAGAGTCCCGCCAAGCGGACAGCCACTCAGACGGGCAAGTAAGCAAACGAATGAACGAGCGAGCGCGCTAGTCGAGGGAACAGCGACTGTGGCGCTTCCATGCAGTGCAATAGGGAACCATCATCGGTTGTGGTGTTCGTGTGTTGTCTGCTTCACTGACTGGCTAAGCAGCAAGCCGCGCGCAAATCAGCCCTGCCATCCGTGTGAGACAGCGGCTGCGTGCGTTTTCGTTCCTCCGGAAAAGTGAAGTGACATTTTATTTGAGAAGTAATCACGAGTGAGTTCGCTGGTCAGAGTGCTCGACCGACAGTCAGAGGGGATACCGTTTGTCGAAGCGATCGACTGCCCGACGGTCACTGGAAAATTAGTGGCGAGACCGTGAGCCGCTATCTGGAAGGTGGGTTACCTGTTTGAAGAAAATTCTCTGAACTCTGTCGATTGATGACTGACACCAATCCTCGTTGAGAAATGCTCACTGAGGGACAGCTCGGTCGTTGTTCCGATATTCAGCAAAATCACCCATAGTCGGATGTTCCTGAAAGCGAACGAGTCGTTGGGTTCCATTCTCTGACGCCTTCGGCACTTTCACGTGCGGCACGAGGCTTCGGAATCGATGTAGGGACGTGGGAGAATTTCTTCGGACGGAAATCATCCGAAAAATATCCTCGACCCCGAGTTTTGAAATGTAGCTGGTATACGAAGGGCCTCTCTCCGATGCATCTCCTCCGGAACCGGGGCATGAATCTTTCTTCTGGAGCCCCGGCCACTCACAAGAACGCGCACTTCTCTTAGCTCATTCAGTGTGTGACGAGTGAGTGCTTCGTCTACCTGACGTATCCTTTTGACGAGCACGGAACCATTCTACTTTTTTGAACTGGTTGGTCCTTTGAGCATCTGATAGGAGAACGCATAAATAGCTGGAGGAGCGGATATAAAGAAAACGCGAGCAATTCATGTTTGGACTCGATGACAGGGCGTCACCGCTCTGGATTCTTTTGTGTTGAGTTGAAACAAAGCGCCGCAAATTCACAGAAATGAGACAAACTTGGACGATAGAGTGAAGCTTAGGCACGACCAGAGATGAGGGTCCGACCTCATCGACGTCATGTCCTGCAGTGACTAGGTGCTTACTGGAATAATCGTCATCATCGTTCAGCATTATCGCTGCAGAGAGTCAAAGGATATTCACATTGGAGAGCTCCAGGAAATCCCCGGTTCCGGGGACAGATTCCAAGGATTTCGCGTGAATTACGCCGGGCATCTTGTTCAGGTAGCCAAGCTCGCCGTAATGTGCTCTGCCACCGCTACGGCGCGACGCCGAGTTTCTAAATTCAACGAAAACACTTTCCGAAATTCAGCGAATCGAACAGCTGAACGAGAACGTGCGATTCTGTGAGAGATCCCGACAGAGCATTCGTGGGCGAAGCTTTCTACCGTACGGAGCTATACACGACCAGATATCTGTCTGTTTAGGCGTCTTATAACCTTGGTCAGCAAACTATGTGCGAGGGCCAAACAAGTTAGCTGCTGACGGTACGACTTGAAACCGCTCGGTTCAAGTGTCGGCTCCTTTCACCTTTCGGCCGCAGGGCGTGTAACTTCCTTTCTTCCACCGATGGTCGGTCTCTGCGACAATATTATTCTCTCGAGCTTCACACATCAAGGAGCATGCTCCTTCGAAACGGAATCATTCTGTCGGCGATAACTCGGGGAGAATCAATGATAATTGGGCTTCCCATGAGCTCGACTCCATTTAGAAGTGACGAGAGAGAAATTCCATTGCCTGTTCCGGTCATTATGAATACCGCTAGGGTGACAGAGCTGGTATTCCGAATCGATGGGAAAACGCGGACTGTGCTGAATCGGAAACCGCTGCTGTCAGACACTCCGGAATACTTCTGTTCGTTTCTCTGGTTTTCACACTACGGACACGATTTCTGTTGCCGTCGCTGCCGCCACGCTGAGGTCGAGCGACCAAGCGCGGAACAGAATTAGCGTTCGTGAAGGGAAAAATAAGCGGTCGAATTCGAGCGCCAAACCGAATCGACTTCAGAGGTCTGATGATCAAACGGGGAGAACTGTTGTTCCCAGGATCAATTGGCTCATTGTCGATAACGGCAGTTCCGAACCGACTCGGGACGCCGGCGTCGTGCGAAGCTGCGATGGAGCGGGCTGGAACCGTCTCGGCAGGGGGACCAGCTCCTGACCACAGCTTCATCGAAGATCTTGGGAACCCAATGTTGCCCCGTTTAGCCAGAGATCGTGAGAGCTCAAGAAGCGATAGTTTTCTGCTTTGAAATCGTATCGTTGACGTCGGTTCGAGCGTATCGGGACGATCAGTTGAGCCAGTGACAATGTTTTCATTTGGTCTCGCAGCGATTTCAATGCTCCGACGCTTGAGCGAACCGTGGCATGTCCGAGTGAGGGCTTTCGTAGAAGGTTCTGATGACAATTATTCGGATCGTCATTCTCCGAAATCTCGGATAGCGGATGATCCGCGCAGGATCCTAGGTGATACTTGGGCGGACACGCATACTAAGATTACCTGAAAAAGATCTGCCGTGGCTCGACAGCTCTAACTTGAAGGAGTCTGTCCAGAACTAGAGGTTCCTCGACACGTTCGACGCCGCTTGAGATTTTTATTGATGACGCAAGAGTACTCGCTGGCATTGTGTTACTAGACGTTGACGTCAATTAGATGTCGGCTCATTCGAATCTCGAGATCCCGACCGGCGCATGGCGAATGGTTGCTGCAGAGCGCTACTTCCCGCGCCTTTCTGACATCCGAACGGAAACGCAGTTCTTACGACGATTTTTCTCTTTTCTACTGGTCCTCCGAGAGCGCTATCCGAAATCGGACGAAGTTATCTCTCCTAATCCGATGCCGCTGGACGTGACTTCTCAGCGCATCCGGATCCTTGATTCATATTTTCTAAACCTATAAACCTTATGGAGTAATTCGAACTTCCGGGCTCGAATATCCGCATGACGAAGCGGATGCGACCTTAAGAATTTGATGGTCGCTCCACGAAATATGTTTTTGCGATTCGCCGCCGAACGCAGGGAAAAATTCTCTACTCGCTGATTTAGCAGCTGCGGACGGGATTATGACTCACAATGAGCGCAGTCCGGTAACTGACTGCTGCTTTTGCAACGATCGAACTCTTCCCACGAGCATGCGGTCTGTTAGAGAAAGGAAAATATCTTTCGACTCTGAGACGGGCGTTCGAACGCAAAGCAAACAAGATTCACGGTACTGCGAAGGCCGATAGATGTCGAGCGTCGAATCTTTATCGAAGTTCTGCCGCCTGACCCGTCGCGGCGACCGCTGATGTTGCACGAAAGAGACTCACGGCTTACGCTCGCGAGCAACTGACAATACATTAATGCTGCTTCACGTTCATCGACGCCCTTACATATGATGACTCCTCATTATTCTGTCCCCGAGCAGCCCGCTGACTTTCGTCGGTGTCTCACTGGGAACGTCGGCGGTACCGAATCCAGTCCGGACCCGGACCTTACCGAGGGGTATCGCTCGGTCAGGGAACCGCGAACAGAAATTTCTCCTGAGGTTACTGTAAAAAAAATACGGTGATTAGAAGCGACTCGCTTCTGATCGCCTTTTCCCGCTTGGAAAGCAAATGTGTGACTGTATCGGACGACGGGGACCCGCTCTTAAGGCCAAGGGATTGTCCGCCAGCAAGTGGTAGAAGAGTACACGCGAGCGTGTTCTGAGCTGGGGGCCCTCTTTCCTTCTCGGAGCTTCTCTTACGAAGGGCCCCTGGCGCTGGTAGGGTCGAGAAAGACCTAAATCGGGTTCACTGGCCTATTTATATGAACTATTCCGAAAGTGAACCGAGAGAACCACCGGTTGATTCGAGCTCTAGATAGAATCGTCTCTGTGCAGTAGATCATCATCGAAGCGTCCGAAGCGTGAACCGTGGACCCACAGCGGACGTTCGACACGCCGCGGCGTGAGCAAGTACTAACTTTTCCAAGTGCAACCCTCAGCAACTGCTGTCGTATATGGCTCTCACTGCACGACGATCTCCGCTGCCATCTCCGTCGCCGACTCCATCGGTGTCGTCGTACCACACGGCGCCGCTACCGATAGATGGAATTGAAACTGTGATTCCGGATGGAGGCACCCAATTCCTCTTGCCGAGAAGACTTTACTTGTATGGACTCGTAGATTTCCATAGAGCGACCGAACAAGTGGAGCAGGTGATGAACGACTACGATGCCATCGAAGAAGACATCGAAGTTTCCAGGATATCGACTGAGAGGATGTGGGAGCTCTATTACAACAAGGCAAGCTGCAGAAATTGCCAAGTGTTGCGTTTGCAGGGAGAGCTTTGATTCGGTTTGATCCATTCATTGTATTTTTACGGCTTGCTAATCCTTTCTTGGACTTATCTTAGCACGATCTTCACGGTTCCTTTAGACTCGATAACACGCCTGACAACGAGTGGTGATCACACATTACCGACACGGCGCGCATGTTGTTCCCAAACAAAGTAGAACAAAAGCATCGGAGCATGGCGACATGGTTGATTTAGTAACGAAATTGTGCGATTCGTTTCTGTACAACGCTTGGAAGCGCAGCAGGTGAGCCATACGCTCCCGACTGGCTTATTCGGACGAGTCATCGGCTCTCGGTGAGTTTCCGAATAATTTTCGAGGGCATTTGCGTGGTTGACTTAAGAAAAATAGAAAGATTTCAAACGAGTGCTCGATCGCCATAAAGCACAGGAACAACGAATCAGTTCACCACGATTTATACTATCCGGTCCCTTCGCTGGCGCCTGAAGAAGCTAAGAATTGTTCGTTCCCCCGCCTCAATCAGATAATGTCGCCTTGGCGATGCTCTGGTTCTTTGTTTATTATTTCATCGATATCAGGCGAGTATCGCCCTTCGTATCTCCGGAACGCTCACCGTGGAGTTGAGCTGTCATTCTTTATCTCGGCTCAGCCGCTTATTTAATGATTCCCAGTCCACGTTGCGATGCTCCTTACCGTCTCGTCATCTGATCATTCTTCACGTGAAGCGGAAGAGAGAAAGCCGACTGGGAGGTTATCACTCGATCACTTGAACGAAGCCGAGTGCTTACCTGCTGTCAAGTCAAGAACTTTCGCAATCGTATCCCTCCCCGTGAACTTGAATACACCCATTAACGTTGGCACCTATTTTTTTGTTTACATCCGATCGCGGGCCCTCCCGGTAGTGGCCGGCCGGCCTAACCCTGATGATGTGTCGGATTGATCGGAAAGACTGAAAATCGATCGAAGGAATCGAGAGGGAATCGGAGTTCGGTCACCGTCTCGACAAGTAGAGCGAAATCATTTTTTTTCAAATTTGATCGTTCAGTCGGCGCGGCGTCGTCAGTGAAGTCCCTGACATCCTTCTGAAAGCGTCTACCCTCATGCTGCCCGAGTAGATTTTCGATAGAACAGAATCATTCAGCATTGCAGGAGCGCAGGAAAATTTTATGAGTCAGCAGTCCCTAGCAAGCCGCTTGATTTCCGTCGCTGGCTTAGCCCACGTCTGATGCTCAGACCACAGCAACTGAGCTACAACAGATCGTGTAATTTTAAATCGTCAGCGTTTTGTCTCTGTTCCATTGTGGCAGCTGTCCACTGAACATAAGTCCATCGCGACATACACGATGACATTGAAATTGAGCTGGGTCGGATGACCACCACCCCTCATTCCGGACCCTCCACATAGATCATTAGGGGGGTCTCGTGCGAATCCATCTGATGGTTGTGATCTATCGCCACAGAGCTCGGCAAACTCATGCCGTCCGAAGAATCGAAAGCTAGTTGAACTGTGTGCCAACCGTGGGCTGTGGCCGTCGACTGACATCATCTGACATTGGAGAATGGCTCTCAAGTATGAAACGTCGGGGAGAGAATGACAATATGCTTGGGGAAATTATCTTTTATCCACATGACCGATTCTCGACAAAGAGCCTCGTCTTGAATCGGGGAGCGACCCGTAAGCATCGAGGCTTTTCTGGGAGTTCCTTACTACTTGTCCGGCTTTCGGAGTCGCTCCTTCGCCGCTCGTTGGCGCCGATCTTGTTCAATTATTCCATTCGGTCACTCAGATACTCACATCGACGATGAAGTGGTTCCAACGAAATTCGACAGCTTTACCGAAGATGAATTTCTCGTGGCCTACACCGTGTTTTCCGATGCGAAAGCGAGAAACCACCAAAATATTTTAAGGAGGGGTGTGCCGAGGAACAGCGCAGTTCCAGTTGGGTGGTACGGGGAAGATTGAAGATTATGGTCCGGAACATCAGCTGGAATATGAAATGGGTAGCTGACCAACTATTCTTGAAGCCTGTAGTCATTCAACTCAGTCTCTCTGTCGCCCAAGTTCATTGGCGTCATCTTCTGGGCAACCTCATCGCACAGCGGAGACAGCGATTCCTGTATTTACGCCTTACTGCACGGGCAATCACGTGAATTTTTTTCGTGGACTTCATCGATTCAGATGGAATGCGGATCGCAACGGAATCGAGTTCCCGGAAGAGCGGACCCCTCTCGATCAAATCGTTTCATCCTTCAGGAAGGAGCATTTCTAGTGTTGCAGAATTTATGACCACATTGTTCCGAATTGCGACTTAGAAGCGCCGTCAACTGTTTACGTAAGATAATGTCGATGGCGATAAATGATCGGCGAGTCGTCCAAACCTCCAAGACTCGCCATGGAGCACGGGTCGAATTTCGAAGCCAAATGTATCCTCCGTGGATTCGATCCGGCGAAAACTGCCGTGGAGCACTGCCGTGAGTTGTCCACGGCTACGGAATTCCTCCTCTTTCCCCATTCGATTCCGTTTTTACGATTAAATCCATGCTTTTCCTGAGGAAGAATTCGGAACTTTCACCGGGGCGATTGTCACGCCGATCGATGGAGCTGCTCGTGGACGTGAAGTACCATCGTTGAAAGGCAACCGGCGATCTCCAAAAGAAGAGCTTCTGCTTGACGTCGATCGTGAGTGGAGTCACCAGGGAGCTAGTTCGCCTCTCTGGACGGAGAACGCTCCACTAAGGGACAACTTCCAACTCGGGGCGGTTGCGTCGCATCGACTTTGCTCGGTGGAGAAGTTGCCTCCCGATCTTCAATGAGTCCCGCGCGCCTCCTATTATAAAACAAGGAGAACACCCTCGCTCCTTTCCTAATCGACTTGTTCATCTATCGCGCTTATCTGATTACAGAGTCGGATCGTCGCAGCGAGGGTACCAGCGGCCATTGTGCCAGTCTCTATCGCTCGGTCCCAATTTATCTATCGCTTCGAAGCGCCCTCGCTGTGTATTCTCTCATCGCCAGCGACGTTCGTCTGCAGCTCAAGAAGAGCTTGTTGTGATTGTCCGAGACACAGACACCGCTCAGCTGAGCTTCGCTGAAAGCACCGAGTGTGTCACGAGTTCTACCGTACGTCGAGAAGCAAGAAACCGGCGTCCTCAGTGGTAGAGAACTTATTCATGGGATAGCCTGCACGCGAATCCTCAAAATGCTGCGGATCGGTATGTTATCGCGGCGTGGCTTCTCTACGCTGAAGTTTTCGTCCGAGGTCGCTTCGGCGCTCAAGAACGGAGACCCCATCGTCGCTCTGGAATCGACCATCATAACGCATGGGATGCCGTATCCCGAAAACTTGAAAACAGCCATGGACGTCGAGCAAGTAGTGCGCAGAACGGGTGCGGTGCCAGCGACGGTCGCGCTCATCGAAGGAGAAATACACGCTGGTTTATCCTCACAGATGCTCGAGGATCTCGCCAGTTCGAAGGACGACCTGGTCAAAGTTTCCCGAAGGGATCTCGCGCCGGCCATGGCTCAGAAAATGACCGGAGGCACGACCGTGGCCGGGACCATGGTCGTCGCCCACAAGGCCGGAATACAGATGTTCGTCACGGGGGGCATCGGTGGAGTTCATCGCGGGGCTGAGATAACGATGGATGTGAGCGCCGACCTGATAGAGCTCGGCAGGACACCCGTCACCGTCGTTTCGGCCGGTGTCAAATCGATCCTGGACATCGAGAAAACGCTCGAGTTCCTTGAAACTCAGGGGGTTTGTGTCGCTACGTACGGTGACTCGAAAGAGTTCCCATGTTTTTGGACCCGGTCCAGCGGCCATGAAGCGCCGTGGAACGTGCGAGATCCTTCAGAGGCCGCCGCAGTCATCGCGTCTCGACTTTCACTGAATTTGCAGAGCGGTATGCTCATAGCGAATCCGATTCCCACCAACCATGAAGCCGACGGAAAATTCATTGAAGCCTGCGTACAGGACGCATTGAAGGAGTCCCAAATACAGAACATCAGAGGCAAGGACATAACTCCGTTCATATTGAACCGTGTCCATCACGCGACTAGCGGTGCATCTCTAAGGAGCAATGTGGCCTTGGTAAAGCACAACGCGTTGGTTGGTTCTCTTATCGCGAAAGAGCTCAGCAATATTTTGCCTGACAAACTCCCACAACAACAAGAAAGCGCTGACGTCCATAGTTTCTACATTGGGTCTCAAACGAAAAGCCCGCTAACCATAAATCCCTCGAGACCAGTCGTCGTCGGTGGGTGCATGGTCGATTTCAACATCAAGCTCGCCGAGGATAAAATCGAGATCGATGGCAAGACATACAAAGGGAGAGTATTCCAGGGATACGGCGGAGTCGGTCGAAACATCGCGGATTGCACATCGAGACTGGGACTCTCGCCTCTGTTGATATCGGCGGTCGGGAGTGATTTGAACGGAAAAGGTCTCCTCGGCCACAATCCCCTGATGGATAAGAGCGGAATCGAAATCTTGAGAGACGCCACGACTGCCACCTGTTGCGCGGTGCACAACCGCGCGGGCCAGCTCTTGTACAATGTCGGGGACATGCTCATACACGATCGGATAACTCCTGAGCTCTTGCTCAAGTACGAAAAAGATATCGAGGCAGCGCCTATTGTCGTTCTGGACGCGAACATTCCCGAGGACACACTTCGTCTGGCGGTGGACATGTGTACGCGACTGAAAAAGCCCCTCTGGTACGAACCCACCATCGTGAACAAATCGACGAAAGCTTTCGACAAAAAACGAATCTCCGGAGTCTGGTATACTTCGCCGAACCGGGACGAGCTCGAAGTCATGTACAGAGATCTCACTGGTGGGAACGACGTCCAAGGAGACGAAGTGACGAGAGCTGCGAAAATGGCGAAGGAGTTGTTACGCTCTGGCGCTATCACCCGAGCCGTTTACGCCACTCTTGGGCCCAAAGGACTCGTGAGAGTGACGAAAACCAACGATCTTTTCGACGCCATCCATTTCGAGGCCCCTCAAGCAGCCACGATTAAAACATCGAACGGCGCTGGCGACTGTCAAGCGTCTACAATCATAACCGGTCTCGCACTCCAACTCCCAGAAGAAGAGTATATGGGAGCCGCAATGGACATTCCGCTCCTCACCTTGGCGAGCTATTCGGCGGTGCCGGATACGTTGAGCAAAGACGACCTCAAGGTGAAGAATGTTGTCAAAACTAGAAGAATCATCATATGAGCAGAGAGAGCGTCATTCGCTAGAACAGTATTCTTTTAATGCCATCCGAAGTCGATGCTGCGGCGGACCGAAGCCTCACTTCTCTGAAGCATTCGTCCGGGTTTTCGGGCGGAACATGTGCTGGTTTGTTCAATAAATCATCCAATTGTAAATATATTTGCAGTTTTTTTCTTCCTAGCTCACAGACGAGAAGGCGTCAGCTTCTCGGGAATTATTTCATTCGAACGCTACCGAGGAAAATAATTGAGAGACTGGATCAAAATTTACTCCTGGTGAACACGAGCTCGGTGTGCTGACTCAACGTCAGTGTCGCATGGTATCGATTTTTCTTCTCTAAATTCACTGGTATGAGTCACAAGCGACTGCGGGTTTCGAAAGAGTGTACATCGCACTCAGCCATCTTGCTGATCGTGGTTTGGCGTACGCACGTGGAATGCCTCGCTGACGACTGGTCGGAAAACATTCGTCCGCGCATCGCGTCTGCGGGCTCTGAGCTTTCCGGTTCCTAATTCAGGAGTCCGATTCGAATTGCAGGACGCAATGGAGAGTGCGCTCCACGCCAGGGACAGAGTCGGTGTGCAGGACTTTGTTCTGCTCGAAGACATCCAGTCCGAGAGATTGTTCATGGAGAATTTGAGGAAGAGATACCAGGAAAATCTCATCTACGTGAGTAATGAGTAATTAGTAGTCCTTGAGCCAAGTCGCGAGGAGGGAGATTTGTCACTCGTAGGGAAAGAGTGCCGTCATTCTCGTCCGACCGAATATCGTTGCCGGTTCAATCATCTTTGCCGTTGGCTCAACGTAAATGTATGTTCGCTTTCCGTTCTTGATTCAGCAGAACGTGTCCCTATGACAGCAACCCTGGAGCTTTTCTCGAGCTGAGACGAAATTATGTAAAACGTTGTTGTTCCATTCCGAAACGAGCTGAAGTCGCTGCCGCAAGATTGAACCGGACGACCGGAATGTACTCAGAGCCACCCACCGTATTCAATCCAGAAAACGGCTCGAGCGTTTTTTTCTGTGGCGCCATGCTCGTTCGGTGCAGAAGACTGTCCGTTGTTCGGCTCGCAGCCCTGGCTGAGGATCGGAAACAATAAGAACGGCCGAAAGTCGTTGACTCGATGCTTGCGGACGATGCCGTACCCGGCGGTCTGACTCTAAAAAAAATTCATTCTTCAGACATACATCGGACCCGTCCTAATATTGGTCAATCCCTATAAGAAACTGCAAATATACGGGGATGATTACGTCGATCTATATCGGAACTCGAACTTCTACGATCTCCCGCCTCACGTGTACGTCATGGGTCCGATCTCGATGAATATGTTCAAACAGGAGATTCTCCGGTGAAATGCGATTGTATGAATATTAGAGTTCTCATTGTAGCTTTGCTATTGGCGATGCTGCTTACAATCTCCTGCACGAGGAAGGAAGGGATCAATGTATACTCATCTCAGGAGAGTCCGGCGCGGGAAAGACCGAAGGTGAACGATTCGCTGAGGATCCGACGCGTTCTCAAACAGTATCGTCGAGGCCAAATACCTGTGGATGATCGGTCCCATTTCTCCGACTCCATGAGAAGATTGCCCCAAAATCGCCTAATGTCCCACTTTTCTCGATCAGCTTCGAAACAGATTCTACAGTACGTCGCCGCTGCTTCTCATCACACGAACTCCGTAGAACACGTAAAGGAGAGACTGCTACAGAGTAATCCGATACTCGAAGCTTTCGGGAACGCGAAAACGAACCGCAACGACAATTCTTCCCGATTTGGGAAATATATGGATATCGAGTTCGATTACTCGGTGAGCTCGGCTCGAAGCACAGAGTGGGGTGCTCGTTTGACTGTCATGATAGACGTTATGAAATATATCCTCGGAGGAACTGTCGCCATAGGTCGTTAGATTTCCTAACAGCTTCGTGGTTTCAAAGGGAGCCCCTGTTGGAGGCCACATCCGCCAATACCTCCTGGAGAAAAGTCGAGTCATCCAGCAAGCTTCCGGTGAAAGGAACTTCCACATTTTCTACCAAATTCTGGCGGGTAGGTGACAGCTTTTTCTCAAAGATCGTCGTCCGGATACCTCACCTTGATAATCCGAAGGAAATAACTGTAATCTTATCTATCTCGTTTTCTCATTGAAGGTGCTGACGATGATCTCCTGGGAAAACTCCAGTTGCGACGTGATCCTGTGTATTGTTTTTATCTCGATCAGGTGAGTCGGAGACCTTAGCGAGAAAAATCGCTGGTGTTTCCGTCGCGGCCTCCCCGAACTCCGCTACCGTTCGGATGCCAAGAGCTCAACGGTATAATTGGAGTCAGGGCAAGCAGGAGGAGGTTTTCTGTCGAGCGGAGAAAGCATTCCGAGGCTCTTTTTCTCGTAAAGTTTCCGCGAGCCCAGTCGCAAAAATCTTCCGAGCCAGCTTGGCACGGGGCTCTCCTGATTGTCCCAATCGAGATGGGATTCCGTGGGTCCGCCCCGTGCCGATAGGACCGGAGCTCGACAAGGGGAACTTCATCCTCCCTTCCTCCTTTCTGTTTGGGATAACTTCTGTAATACCGCGCACGCAGGGCGACGCTGTTTCCACAGTTGGACAGGACGACGCAGCAGCCTTCAAAGAAGTTTGTCGAGCATTGAGCGTCTGTGATTTCACGCCGACGGACCAAGAAGAAATCTTTTGCATAACGGCAGCCGTGCTGCATCTCGGCAATACTGGATTCATCGAGGAAAACGGAGAGGCTCTCATTGCTCAAGATAAGCCTATCGCAGCGATTTCGGAGGTAAGCGTTCTGTCATTGGCCCCTCCCACGTATCTCGCAAGAGGGGGGAAATTCTCATAGAGGGCTGTTCTTTTCTAGCTGATCAAATGTCCGGAAGAGATTTTGAGAGCTTCGCTAACAAACCGGACGATTGAGGCTCGCGGCGAGCAGGTCCGGAGCCCGCTGACGAGGGACCTTGCCATATTCGCGAGGGACGCACTCGCGAAGGCGTTGTATGAACGATTGTTCAAGTGGATCGTGAATAAGGTGCGATGGAGTGAGCTTGCTCCGAGTTACCGAATAATGCTCTCAGGAGCTCGCATCTAGTTCATTATGCGAGAAACCGATCGCTCGGATAACCAAGGAACGTTTTCGAATAGATCAACGATTCGTTGCGATCGAAGGATCCGCACAAGAAAACGCTGATGGGACTACTCGATATTTATGGATTCGAGGTGTTCAAGAAGAACAGCGTCGAGCAGTTTTGCATAAACTACTGTAACGAAAAGCTCCAGCAGCTATTCATCGAGCTCACCCTCAGAAGTGAGCAATTGGAATATCGGAACGAGGGTATAGAGTGGTCTCCGATCGACTACTTCGACAACAAGGTGAGTCAATTACTCCAGAGATGAGGGGAGTTTTTTTCGGTCGTGAGTATCCATCTGTTGAACAGATTCTATTCGGGAGCACCAGGTATCAGGTGGAAGGTGAGTGCTCAGGAATCCATCCCTGTGAGTCCATGTCTGATTGAGTAGCGCCCGCACTTCCGTTCAAGGTCATCTGTGAGCTCGTCGAGGAGAAACACAAAGGCATCATCGCGATCCTCGATGAGGAATGCGTGCGCCCCGGTGGGGCCACCGACAAGTCATTCTTGACCAAGCTCGAGACCGCCATCAGGAGCAACGGACACTTCCTCACCTACACCAACGCCTCCCCAAAGATCCGAAAATCTATCGGACGAGATGTAAGCCTCTCCCAATAGAATATCATCAGCGGCATGAATTTCTGATTTTGTCATAAGAGCGAGGAGGACACAGTCTCCTCCATGAATGAAATTCTTCTCCTTCAGGAGTTCCGAATCGTTCATTATGCCGGCGAGGTGACTTACAAGGTGGAAGGCTTCTTGGAGAAGAACAATGACTTACTCTATCGGGATCTGAAACGCGCGATGGCGTCGACGGATTGCAATGTCCTCAAGCAGGCATTCCCAGAAAGCGAATTCGCTTCGAAGAAACGTCCACCCACAGCGTTGACGCAATTCAAGGTTTCCCTCCAAGAACTGATGGTAGCCCTGAGCTCCAAGGAACCCTGGTTAGACCCGTTCCTCAATAATTGTCCGTGACCGAGTGAGATCTAGGGTGTATGATAAACGAACGCCTCAATATCATGTTTCGCCAGGTACGTCCGTTGCATCAAGCCGAACGAAACGAAATCACCAGCCAAATTCGAGGAAAAAATTGTCTTCCACCAAATCAAATATCTGGGGCTGATGGAAAACTTGCGCGTGAGGAGAGCCGGGTTCGCGTACCGCAGACCGTACGAGCAGTTCCTGCAGAGGTAATTTCTCCAGACCCTCCACCGCGAATAAGGGCACGAGAGCCGTCCTACCTAACTCTCCTGCCATCTTGCATTGACACTCTCGGGCACCAGTTTGTAAGAGACCGTCTACCCGATGACTTAGGATCGATCTTATCTAAATGGAATTTCTTCAGGTACAAATGCCTTTGTCCCGAAACTTGGCCAGTTTGGAGGGGCATCCCCAGGAAAGGGGTTGAATGCCTCGTGGAGCACCTGGGATACAAGAACGATGAATACAGCCTTGGGAAGTGAGCGTCATTTGTGCGAGCTGATTCTCGAATGGAGAATCAAGCAAAATGCGATTATAATAATCGATGGGATCGATTTCTGAAACTATGAAGAAAACTCTCCCCGTAGGTACATTGTACGCACAACGGGTTCCCAATCAATGTCTGACTTTCAGAACGAAAATTTTCATCCGCTTCCCGAGAACACTTTTCGAGACTGAAGATGCGCTCCAGCAGGAGAAGCAAGAAATAGGTGAGAATTCTTAACTGGGAAGTAGCGAGGATCCGTTGTTTTCGATGGTCGCCCAGTAGTTCTAAGGTGTCATTTCTCTTCACAGCGACCTACATACAGGCACGCATCAAAGGCTTCATTGCCAGGAGAAAATACCAGAGACTGCAGAAAACCGGTTAGTCCGCTAATCATCATGCGGCCCAGAGGCGGCTTGTATCAGAGTGTCTGGGGCTTCGCCCAGGGATGCATCTTCCTTATTCAATTGAATATGGGGCTATCTCCTTCATACTCATCATATCAATTCACAGCTCTGGGCATTCAGTGCGCGTGGAGACGGATGCTGGCACAACGAGAACTCAAGCGGAGACGAGCTGCTGTTCAAACGATTCGACGGTAGGTTGCTCGAGGTTCCTGCGAACGTTGATCGCTATAAGCCTGTATCTTCGAAGAGAGATCAATGCAGATGATTTTCCCCAGCTTCATCAAAGGATTCATCACAAGAAACCAACCAGAGAACGATGTCAACCGTCAAGTGAGTCGACAATCGTGGGAGCCATAGTACACCGAAGTTATTTGAATTCTTGCTCAGAGCCTTCCGAAAGTCTCCGGCTAATTGAGGAGAACTTCATTCTAGTTCGTGCAACAAGTGCGTTCCGAATTCCTACGACGGGTGTCGAAATCCCTTCCGACGTCGGTTTTGGACAAATCTTGGCCTGAAGCACCGAGTGTTTGCAAGGTAAGCTTGCGGAAGCAGCTGAGAGCTCCCACTCCGAGAATCTGTCGCGTGAAGCCTAATCGACTTGTGTATCTTACTCCAGGAAGCTTCAAAACTTCTGCGCGCCCTGCACCTCCGCATTTTAGTGAGAACTTACATACAGAAGCTGTCCCCCGATCGGAAAGCTCAGCTTCTGTGGAAGAAGGAAGCTGATGACATCTTCAAGGTGAATTCTTCCGGAGCAGCACGACCTCCGAAACCCCTAATGGATAGGACCGGAATAACCCGCGCGTGAATCTCTCACATGAAACCTTGCTTCACAGGGGAAGAAGAAATTATACGCGAGCACGGTCAGAGTTCCTTTTGTCGAATCTCACCTAAGTTCGTCGAAGAACCATTTGAGAAACACTTTCGACAAGTCTCATAAGAATCAGCCGGACGAAAAAATTCATGTGAGTGCACCTGCTGAGAGCTCACATAGATCTCGATAAGTCCCGAGTCTATCTGCTGGTTGCGGCCCCGAATGCCTCAATCGAAGACTCGGGTATTGATCAGGATCTAGCATAAGCGATGTCGAGCATCAAATCAATCAATAACTCAATCGATGAAGCATCCACTTTTTCTTGCAGTATTGTTTACCGGTCACGAAGTATGACCGTCACGGCTACAAGTCACGTCGGCGCGTGATCATTCTGACCAACAGCGCCTTCTACTTGGTCGACGATAAGGATTTCAAGCCCAAACACAGAATTCCTTACAAAGCCATCGCAGGTATGATTCATTCGAAGAGGCTTCCGTTGAATTCGATTGAAGCTGCAAGGTCTCTCGAAAGGCCGAATCCTTCCTCAAATTCCCGAAGGCATCTGCCGTAAACCCGTCCAATGCACGAGAGCGCTAGCACGCACAATGAAAAGTTCCCTAGAACTCTCAAATGACCAAGGAAGACTTGAGATGAGCCTTCGATCAGTTCCAAACCTTCTTTTTCAGATGCTTGTGAGTAATATCACCCACCGCTTTGGGATACCCATCAATCACTTTTACAGAAAAACCGGGATCTTGCTGTCTGATCCTGTTCTCGTATTAACTAAGCCTCTGTGTCCCGCACAGCTGCGGGCATGCAGACATAACGAGCAATGCTGCACCCTCATAAACGCTGAGCATGAGTGTGCCTCTTGAAGAGGAAGAGGAATATGAATTCCTATGCTAGGCTTATCCAGGGCCCCAGAATTGCGAACCCACCCTTATCCGTTTCAGGCATCAGTGTAAGCTCTCTGGCTGATGGCGTCATGGTTATTAAAATTCCACAAGAGGATATCAAACACGAAAAGGTTTGCTTTCGTGGAATTCGCTCTTCTCGAGCGATCCATTTCTCCCTTTCTCCCTCCTCAATACTACAACCGAAGATGTCCGAGAATCGCGATTCTCGAATAAATCCGTCGATCTCATTTAGGATTCATTTTCAGGGAGACCTAATCTTGGATTGCGGGGAGTTCCTGGTCGAATGTATTTCGCGTTTAACGATACTCGCCGGGAAACGGAATCTTGTGGAAATCGCTCCAGAAAACTCTGCGTGAGTCCGGATGCAAGCTCGCTAGTCGCGTTGATCTTAAGTTATTCGAGCTTCCTCTGTACGTTTTTGCATTCGGTTGCTGTAGACTATAGCGTTTCTGTTCTACTTTAGACTTCATCACAAGCTCTCCGATGGTAAGCAGGGCACCATCGAGTTCCATCGAGGCACGAAAGAGTCTATAAACAAGAACAAAACCGGGAACCTGAGCGTAGTAAGTCCCTAGCTGGCGTTTTCTCCTTCCCATGTTGTGTTCTCTCTCACAATCAGAAATGATGCGCGAGAGTATCGATCTCTCCTTCATGCGATTTGATTTCCGCTGCGATTCTTCATTTTAGAGAAATCTTCTGGTCGACTCCCATGGTTATCAAGAGCTCCGTTCTCTTTTCAGATCTCCATAATTTGACTGGACGAGAAGATGCGAACAAATGTGATAAAAAAAATTCCCATCGACAAGATATCCAACCTGCCACGGAGTCGAGGCCAGCTCCACTCTCTAAGAGAAATCCCATCCGGAAAGCATTGCCGTTTTATTGGCAGTACGTTATCAAGCTACGGTGTCGCTCGATTTCTCGAGAGTATTTGGTGTTCTCGGAGAGAGAGGGATGCATTCCAGAGGAATAGTGACTGAGTTGAAGCCGATCGGCCCTACCCATGTCTTTCTCCGGATGTGCCATATCATTTTGGAATAAAGATCGAGTCACTATCTCTTCATGTCAAGCTTCGGAAGATCAAGTTTACTCCCTCTTGGACGCCGCGCCGGTGTGGCGAACCCATGCTGGCGGGTAGAATTTCCGTAGGTGGAAACGAGGTCGCGATATAAGATAGAGGGAGGGCTCGCGTAGAGAAACGAATAATCATTGAATTTCAGTGTCCGGTTCGACATCGGGGCTCCCGAGAGGGTCTCCGTAAAAATGTTTGCCCGGCTTTCGTGGGTAACTCCGCTCGAAATATCCCTTCCTGGAATCAATTCCGCATTGGTGAATGAGAGAGGGGCAAGGGGCCCTAGCCCCCTCCTATGCGTCATGAAACTCAAGCTTAGGCCTCGAGGAGACGCGTCATCATTCAGATTCCGAATCACCATCGGTTGCCCTCCTGCCCAAGAAGAAGTCCTGGATCCACCCCGGCTGTATTTTATGATATTGTGTGATGTGATGTATAACACTCCGGTAGAGCCCAATAACTGACAGCCGGGACCCGTTGTCCGGTTCGGCCTCTGGGAATAGAGTAGAGCCCGCCCGAGTATCTACAGTGGCCTTCCCTCGAGAGTGAAGTAGGCGCAGGGGAGCGTCGACCCGAAGAGCCGAATATCGGAAAGAAACAGAATCGGGGTCATAACTTGTTCCCGTAGCGCCGCGGGAGCGGATCGTCACTGCTGCATATGGATGAACACTTCGGACCCAAGATTCAATTCTGGTGGGGGTAGATTCGAAGTCTCCTTGCGCATTCGCGCGTTATGACGGATCCAGGATGCCTTCTAGACGAAGAGGGGACCGCGGTGGGGGTTACTTCTAGGAGGTCGAGTTCATGGCCTAGTCTGCCTCCACGATGGGAGGTATGTCAGAACTCAGGACCCGCAACGCGGCCGGTCGCTGCCCATCTTGCCGAATTCGCCGTTGCATGTTATGGCTTCCTCACCCTAAAAGGGTCAGTGATTCCAGAGCCTCCGGATTGAGCTAGCTAGAGGAAATTTTCATGAAGCGCGATACCGTTTGAGACAATCACGAGAGAAACATTCTATAGTTTCTGAGAGATCCACTCTCACGGAATCATGCACTTATTCGTGTCACACTTCGTTGGTTCATGAAAATCGAAAACCGGTTTTCCTTGCGGAGGGAAGTCGGCATTCCCATGAGGAATCCTGCCCAGAGAATCCACGAACTCATTGAAGTCGAGGAATCTCAATCGGCTGCACGAGCGAAGCAATTGACGCCGACATAATTCGGGTTATATACTCGGTCCCGACGCCGGGCGTCCGTTCGTATTGTTGGAAAACTCGCTAGACTAGAGGGTTTCAAAGCTCGTGAGACAATCATGAGGATGGTCTTCTATCAGAATAAACACTTCCTGGTCGTGTTGGAATCAGCCGACATTTCCTCGTCCAAGTCTCAGTCATAAGGTGTTTCGAACTTTACAGAATGAGTCGGCTGTTCCATTCGTTACGTGACTTGGCATACTGCATTCCTCCAGTCACAAACTCTTCAAGGTAGTTCATCCGAGTCTTTCTACACGAATCGGCATAATCAAAATGATTGAGTTCTTCTCCGCACAGACTTTCTTGTACGAGAACCGCGCACGCTCGCAGAGCATCCTTCCCAAGTCCTCACGGACGGGAGCTTCACCGAACGGCAATGAGGAAATAGTGCCCTTTCTTTCGGAGACCTCTCTCCGATCGGGAGCCTGCTCACTCCTGAGCTATCCAGCGAGCGAACTAACGTCGGTCGTCCTCAGATCCCAAGATGGCGGCTCCCAGGTCATGAACTCTAATTCCATATCCCCATCCTGAAAGCACCCCTGCTTCCGAACCGTCCTTCTCGTGTCTCGATTCCTAACGGAAATCACGGCCAAGGGCGAGAAACCGATCGGGACGTTGGATTGATTCGAGCACGGCTTTTAGCTCAGGGGTGAGAGAGAGACAACCCCTCGGAGTGTAGGAGCCTTTACAGACAACATAATGGCACCGACCGAGGAGCCAAGTGTTACTGAAAGGGACAAACTACTTAAAGGTGAGAATTGTGTTCTCTTCCCTACGGATCCGCCGCGTGCTCATCACTGGATTACTCTGGCTCTCGGTTTTTATTTGTGGTGTCGATAATCTGCGAGCAAGATCAACTAGCTGCTCGTGGTATAGGTCATGTGCTGCCTACGTGCGGAGGCTCGTGCTTCGCCGGGCAGGTTTCGCGGATCATCATATTTCTCGGATTTGGAACCCGAGACCTGATCCCCACTTCGTTGGAGGCTGAATTTCGCGAATTAGAATACCGAAAGACGACGCTCCACTCTCTAATTCCTCGGCCACGGACCTCGATTCAAAGCCTATCCTGTCTCCGGCAGCAGAGTCCCAGAGCTCTCCCTTGTCAGTTACTCGTGGATCCATAACATTGATCTTGACCGATTATTCTGACGAGAAATGCAGAGAATTTTCGGAAAGGGCGACAACGAAGCTGGATATTTCCCCAGCTCGGGATATTCTCTCGCGTAGGATTCCGGCATCTACCATGATCAGCACGAGTTATGTACGAAGTTGGATCCGTGGGTCGCGCGCCTCGTCTCATCGTGTTCTCGAGCAGCCTTCGCTCTTGCCTCTTCCTTCATCTCAATGAGTCTCTTGGAAGCGGGCATTTGTTCGGGCAGAATTATACGATTCCATAGGTGGCGTCTCTCGAGCTGGAGTGAAATGTCGAATACAAAGCCAGTCGTGCCGTTGCACTTGCCCTCAGAGAAACCATGGGTTTTGTTTCATCGATGTTTGGCGGTGACTTGGTGGTATTGCGTACGACGCCCTTTCTCCCGTCGCTGGTGGTTCGAGGTCGGTCGCTCTGAGAGTCGGTCAGATCAGAACCGCCTGCCCAGGCCTTGGTGCTACTTTCATGTGATTTCCTTCATTCTCTCTTGGCTCTCCTTTCTCTGAACGGTTTCGAAACTGAGGAAATGACAGTGGCCCCTATCGCGCTTCCGGAAAATAGTGTCTTAGACGGAGGTGGGTTGAAAGGAGACTTTTGGAGGCTAGCGATCCGAAGGAGGCGATACAGTCTGCGACCCTGGTCCGCTTGATGCAGACCGCGCATCACACGATACGGCCGGGTTTGACACTAGAGCCTTGGCTCGAGAGGAGAAAATCACCAGTGATATTTTTCCCGTCGAGTTCGAATTTAAGGATGACTTCGAATTGAGGCTGCCACCAGGAGAATGAGATTCTGACAAATTACCGAAACTTTGTGGAAACAGTGAATAGCAGTTGGAATACATTCAAGGTTTTAACGATCAGCGGTAATTGTTGGAAATGAGGCCCATTATCGTCGTCAAAGATCGATGACCAATTGCATGTTCACATAGCTCGTTCCACCTAGATATTCCGCGATGACTGACACGTGCGTGATGGTTCAAGCTGTTAATCACGCTATGACGATGGCTTTCCGCGATCCTCGACTGAGTAGATTCAAGCTTCGCAGTTTGCTTGAACGAGCTGCGCTCCCATCAGAATCATCTCACTATGTAAAGTTCACTGGTCCGCACAGGGGCCCACGCGGGATTTATCCTCAGAAGTGACTAATAGACAACATGGATCCTCAGACGATGCTGGGCCCTCGAAAGATACGCCGTCGAAAGACAAAAGCGTGCGTCTCGAGCGCAACCTAGGACTCATGAGTGGGGTAGCGATGATCGTCGGGACCATGATCGGTAAGATCTCTACTCTATTTCAAAGCCAACCGTTTGATATTCGCCGAAACGATGACCGAGTTCACAGCCAATTCGATCCTCAGGTTCCGGCATCTTCGTGAGCCCCAAAGGTGTTTTACTGCGATCGGGCTCGGTGGGAATGACCCTAGTAGTCTGGGCCGGCGGAGGATTCATATCACTACTCGGTGCGCTCAGCTTCGCCGAACTGGGGACTCTTATCACGAGATCTGGAGGCGATTACATCTACATTCTAGAGGTGAGCGAAGAAACCCTAGACCCGTGCAACAATTCGAGGCACGGTACGCTCAGCTTCATGGGATCTGTGAACCTGCGGTACATTCGCAGTCACAGACTTGAGTGTATCGGAAGTCGATACGAATTATATCATGATAATTACCACGTGAGACACGGTGTGTGGTTTCCTTACAGGCATTCCGCGGACGTTGTTGCGGTTCTATGGGTGATATTCCCGCGTTCTTGTACGCCTGGACAACATGCTTACTGCTGAAACCCGCCTCTCTCGGAATCACAACTCAGTCCTTCGCAAAATACATGTTAACACCTCTGTACTTGTATTGCGACGATACCCCGGCTCTACCCACTAAACTGCTTGCAATATGGACGATAAGTGAGTCGACTGCGTACGATTACGAGGTTTCTGATTTCGAAGAAAATAATCAGGGAAATTCCGATGTCCTCTCATAATCTCGTCCCTGGGAGAAGCATCACTTGACCGAGAAACTAACTTCTTACCTCCAGTTCTCGTCACTATCGCCAATTGTTGGAGCGTCACTCTGGCAGCGCGAATCCAGAACGTCTTCACGGTTGCGAAAATTTTCGCTCTCATCTGCATCATCTTCGGCGGAATGTGGGAGTTGGCTCAAGGCCAAACCGAATATTTGGAGAGCGGATTCGATGGGACCTCGTGGTCTTTCAGCGACATCGCGTCAGCCTTCTACTCAGCCATGTGGGCCTACGATGGCTGGAACAACCTCAACCTTATCACAGAAGAGCTAATCAATCCTTTTGTGTGAGTTCAGGAGAGAAACTCCCAACGACATGCAGTATAATCATCCCGCCTCTCCGGGACCTGAAAATTCAGCGTCTGAATTTTTATTTCCGGTCTTACAGGAACCTCCCCCGTGCCATCATGATCGGCATACCGCTCGTGACCGCGTGCTATGTCTTCACCAACCTGGCATACTTGACAGTTTTATCGAGGAGTGAGTTCCTCGCATCCGAAGCGGTGGCAGTGGTATGTTGGATAGGGAATTTGAAGCGGGAGCGAGCATTCACCGTTCATCCGGTTCGAAAACTTTCTGAAAGTGAGAAAGAGTTCGAGATCCCGTGACGCGGACCCCGACTTCCTTTCAGCGATTCGGCAATCATGTCTTCGGTCGTTTGGCTTCCGTCATATCGCTCTTCGTGGCAGCTTCTACTTTCGGCTCAGCTAACGGGTCGACGTTTGCTGCCGCGCGCATCAGTTTCACGGCGGCTCAAGAAGGCCATCAACTCGAATTCTTCAGCTACGCGCATGTCACTCATCTGACACCAATGCCAGCGCTGATTCTCAACGTGAGTCGTGGTGGAGAAAATTTACTGTAAGCCCCCCCGGAAGAGGAATCGCCTTCATGAGGACAATGTTCCATTGCAGGCGCTCCTCGGCATACTCATGGTGGTAGCAGCTGACATAGGGCAACTCATTGACTTCTTCGGGTTCGCCGCCTGGTTATTCTACGGGATCGCGACCTTCTGTGTGATCTGGTTCCGGTACACGAGACCGGACGATCCTCGACCCTACAAGGTCCCGATCGTAGTTCCCATAATCGTGTGCATTGTCGCCGCCTATCTTGTCATCTCACCGATCGTGATGAATCCTCAACTGGAATATGTTTACGCATCTATCTTCATCCTGTCCGGAATACTATTCTACTTACCCTTCGTGCATTTCAAATGGAGGCCTGCTTGCACAGGTTTGTTCGCGCCACCGTAAAATATCGTTCGGCTCACGAGCCATCATGGAACAATTTTCTCATTCGTGGCATATGCTTCCTTCTCCGGATTTCGGAGTGAATGAGCGACATCTTCTCATACCATTTCAGGTCATTTGACCAAGCTCGGACAAATTCTACTCAACGTGGTTCCCACCAGCACGCCGGAAGAAGAGAAGAAACTAATCACCGAGACGAGTAATCTCTAAAACCCCACGCCAGTCTTCAGTTGGAGTCCTACTTGCCGTCGGAGACCATTATGGAAGTCTCCGACTCCGAATTAGGTGTTGTACGATTGGATGGAACACGAAGTCGCATATCAGAAACCCAGAGAGCGAAGGTAGCCCTTTTCTGGCGTATCGCCGGCCCGGGTCGAGAAGGAAAGTCCTCCAGGCAGAGAGCCGGAATCTCCGGAGAAACACATACGACGAGCTCAGATCCCGAAATGTCGCCGATCCAAGAGGACGAAATATTTCTGTCTTTCATTTATCATTCGAGAATCAGTTCCACCATGACCGGCTCGTATAGGAGCATTGTCAAGCAATCGAAAACGACAAATCGTTCCACGAGATCTTCCAGGAGATTCTTCCCATCTACTATATACACACTACGCAGTCTTTCGTGAAGTTCCTTGAAGACCACCATCGATCCCCGGCACGTCTGTGCAGCCCGACTCCTCGGCGGAGTGGCCTCCACCGAAGAGCAAAGACTGAGGGAAACGACACTCTGGCGGTCGAAAAGCGGGGGACCATGATTCACGTATTACGGAAGTCCTCCGAAAACCTAACCTAGTTCCGCAGAAAAAGAGATAACCCAGTCAGACGGATTATTATGCCCATAATAATATACCTGAACTATTATTTTTAGAGGAGGATTATATTTCCGGTCACTTTTAGCGAGAGAGCGTGATAGCCGAAATATTGGCAATTATTGATGGCCGAGGACAGGACCGGATTCGCTTTAATTTTTCATTTCGGTGAAGCCGCCAGTGGCTCAGCGGATCTACTCTAATCAGGTCATGGTTCTCACACTTGTACCTCGAGCTGGAGAGCGATTTGTTGTTGTTATTGTTGTTGCTGTGACATTGAGTGTCAGTGTGATTGATTGTTTCCTTTTGAGAGTACCGAGGGCTGAATCTATTCTGTTGAGAGCGATCGAGCGAGAACGAAACAGGGTCTGGCCCAGACACCGAATCCGGCATCGGGAGATAACTGGCTTATGAATTATGTATATCACGGAAAAGGGGGATCACATCTCGGTATCAAAATTGCAACGTCGACTTGCGAACGGAGGAACTTATTCAGATCTACCAGGGATTCCGTGGAGAAATGGGAATTCGCATATTAGAGTCTCGAATTATCACAGTAGTCGAGCTTCTTGAAATAAGACGCTGGATCGTGGGTGCATTGTTTTTGACAGCTCGTGCGACGGAGCTGTGCGTCACGACCAAGTTCATCTTACGTGCCATGCTCTTCCTCGAGTTGACAAGCATCGGATGCACATCAGGTTGAAGCTGCCGAGTTTTCCTCCGGTTGTCCCCGATGTCCCAACGTTGAGGGTTGCCCAAAACTCCTGGAACTTGCGTCCTCATCGAGCAAATCAGATTGCGTTTTTGTGGCTCGTCTTGATTGTTTGTGTCGGGTTCCGCCTTAGGATGTGTGTTAAGCGATCTGAGATTCTATTATATATAGATATAAGCAAGACGGATATTTGTCTGAGTGAGCCTCGGAAACCTATAAAGAGTTGTGCACGATGCGTCTGTCTTTCACAGCCAACGCAGTTAGGCTGATTATGACCAGACGACCAAAAACGAAATTCAGCAAGGATTCAGTCTCGAAATGTTGATCAGGAGCATTTCGAAACTCACTTTCAGAGCGCTTCCACATTCCCATGCTTAAGGTTTCTCTGTTACAAGGATGGTTCTGGAGAAGGCAAACATAACAAAAGATCACAGCAACAAATCACCACAATTTATTATGATTGTCATCAGGATGATGATTGCTCGCGCCTCAATATTTTTGTTCAGAGAATAGGTGTCGGTGACAAAGGAGATACGTCTACATACATGATTAGTCCCAGATATACTTGACGTGAGGCGATATTTCCTCACGTACTCGGTCGGACGACAACATGAGATCAGGAGGATTAGTAGAGAAGTGAATAGCCAACAGTTGATGTTTAGTCGTTGATTAGCGGCAATAAAGGTAGAAAGAACTACATGTCATTGTCCTCATTCGGCTGTCGGCGTAAATTCCGGCAGTAAGACTGCATCCCCACCCCTTCGATCGTTCGAAATACTGAACTGATTTCATTTCGGAGGCCTCCTGGAATCATCAAAGCCGCGCACCTACGAGATATCGGTCTCAGTTCTCTTGGAGCTCCGTCTGGAAATCGTCCTTCCCTCGATCGACGAGTCGTTTCGGAGCCGGATGATGCGTGATCCTCTAGTCGAGTCCAGGATAGTCTGCCATCGGTGACGACTTGTTTCTCACAGCACGTTTCATCAAGGTTCCGTATCCTCGGCAAAACACGTCCCTGCTCCTCGATTAGACGGCTTCCACTTCCGGGAAGGATTTTCTGCTTCTCCGAGAGCTCACCTGGGTCGGGATCTACGATCTCTTTCCCTTGAGATTATCTATTAGATTTAAACGCGAAGACTTGGAGTGAAGACTGAAATTCTGCCGCATATTCTCCGCTTCTCCGAGAGCTCACCTGGGTGAGGATCTATGATCCCTTTCCCTTGAGTTTATCTATCAGATTTGAACGCGAAAACGGAAAGAACATAACGATAATCTGCCGGATATGGTTCTCGGATGATGAAAATGGTGATCAACAATTTCCGTGATCGTCAAGCATAAAGTTCGCATTCTCCTTGATCGCCGCAACCAGGAGCTTCTGTGCGTCGGCGGCTGCGAGGGGTTGGGACGCTACGTGGACGCGCTGGACACGCTTGAGATATGAGTCACGCGTACAAGAGGTCGATAGATTTCCGAAACGATCGACGGCAGGACCGAGACCGACCTGAGATCTTCACGAGCCCGCATTCGTCGCTGAAAAACGCGACACACGCGCATTTGCGACGAACATGTCTGGTTTGATTGAGTTGACACCGTTCCAAGTACGAGAGGGTCCGACTCGTCGCGGAGTGTCGGGTCAATCCTCCAGAGTGGAGTGCCTCGACGATTAGAGTCAGGCTCTAAGTGATCGATTGCGAGGGTCGACACGTTTGGATCTCTATTTAGTCAGCGTGTCGCTCCTGGATCATGGATGAATTCGATGCAAATCAGATGTGCGTGTCGTGTATCGCGTTCGGATCATGCGATCCCCTCGGGCGTCGGATCTAAAAGTCAGTGGATTCGTTCCTCCGAATCAACAATCTCTGGTCTAGGAGAGGGAGATTGTCGGGAGCGTGGTCAGCTGCCTCATGTCTGCATTCGAACGTTCGCGCAACTCGCAGGTGCTGTCAACTCTTGCAGTATAGCGTCCCCCAAACTCGTTGAGTAGTTCGAAAATCAGTCCGGATTCTGAAGAATCATGACTGAATGGTTTATGCACCAGAGACATGTATGGTTCATGTATTAGAAACTCGACAGCTCGCATCGGTCTCATGTAGAAAGGTACATGGGGTAACTCACCAGAAAGGTAATTACTGACAGTGCTAAATTCACTGACCACGCTGCGGACCTGAGAATTCGCTTTAAAATTGTGAGCGGTCCAAAATCGACAGATGATGTCTAAGATAAGGGAGATACAACGAAATGACTTCCTCCTCGAAGTAGGTACTTCATTAAACTTCTTATATACCCCTCGACCCTCGACACAGTTCTCCTTTGAATGAGTCACAAGCCTCGGCAACTCACAGCTTCTAGTCTTGGCGAAGACCTCTTCGACCCTACCATCTTCGGAATAGTTTCTTTTCAGTCCCGTCCTGTCTCGGCTTCGGCTCTCACCGCGTTCGGGTGTGTGCTCTCGAACAGGGAGTAGCGCCTCACGACATCGACACGGCATTATTGTCCCCGCCCCTGACCGCGTGAGTTGCCGATGGGAGCAAGCGGTGCATCAGTCTTAGCTCATCTGCGATGAGCACGTTCTCAGGCTAAAGACGCTCCAAGAAAATAAAGGGCCTCTCTCCCCAATCGGTCGTCACGGGTTCGGAGCATACGTTCGGAGCATTACTATGGAACTTCATCTCCGCTCTTCATCTGTCGCTCGCACAGAAGGTTTCCCTTCGCGTATAGGAAGTCCCTTGTACCATCTCAGCGGCGAAATCCTTGACTCTACCCCTCAATAACATTCGAGAAATACGGTCTCCTCTAGCACTGAAGCCTAGCCAACACTTCACGAGACGCTCCTCCAGATCATTATGGAAGTCAACTTTGATTGCTTTCTTACTGCTTGGCCTGCTATGAGCAAACGCCTCAAGCATCCTCATTGCTCTCCAGTCTCCAGGATGCCGAACGTGTTGCATCTGTTCTTCAGGACTAATTCCTTCATGAGTCCCTCGGGGGTGATTTTCCCTTCGATCACTCGTATGATCTTGCCTTCATCATTGAGAAAAATACTTTGACCAGTCGGGGCCACTTGAGACACCGCGTTCGGAACTGATGTAAATACGATCGTGATATCCCCCGCCGGGACGTATTGGGGGCTCGGATGCGCTCCTTCGTCATCCGACATGTTGCTACGAGGGTTCTGAAACCGTACTCTATGTTCACTCTTGCGAAAGCAATACGACTATAGACCGGGACATAATAAACGTGTTTACTAAATCGAGTTTTACCAAATCGAGAGCCTCCGACATTGTTCTCCCACAGAGGCTGGTCGTGGCCCGGAAGAAAGTTACCTGAATCGCGTTTCACCGAATCCAGCAAAGACTGTAGCCATCTACCTAAATATATCTACTTGGCGTCTACAGCGATGGGAAGACCGTCGCTACCGCTGTATTCGAGCTTGATGATCCCGGAGGTCCCCAGGTTTTCGGAGCCGTGCCGTGACTCGTAGAGCCGGCATCCAATATCAGTCCTGTGGAAGATGGCGACCGCTCCTCAATTGGGTGCTTCAGCATGAGCCGACGGCATCGCGATGAAGTCTCTCGAAGGGCTTCCATTGTAGAAGCTCCAACGGCTCGCGGTGCCCACCAATGCGTTACGGATACAGCGAGTTTTCGTATTCCCTCTCGCGGCTCCGGCGGGCGGGACTTAGCAGTCTGGAAACAATTAGAGAAAAAGACTCTGAGCTCTCAACATACCGGAGCCGCTGATTGAGAGCAATGATCTTTTGCATCGGGTTCTTCCCAGAATCGTGGACCCTCGGAAGCGATCGAGCACCCGAAAAGGAGCATCCCCCCACCGGAGAATGTGCTCCTGAATCCCAGTATCCGTCACTCCCAACTTGTCAGACCGGACGCCGCCTCTCTGGGACAGGAGATTCGACCCTGTCCCGGCCATAAAGATGTTGCTCGGATGCTCTCGTAACTTGATGAGTTTCGTTCGGAGTCAGGGCAGTGGGGCAGCACCGCAGATTTCTCCTCGTAACAATAACTCCGCGGCTTGCTTGAAGTATTCCAGCCTAGCTGTCAATCCAATGTTTACGCCGCTTCGCGCGATAACCACGATGCCTCCCGGAGACCGGGCCATTAATCGCAGAAAGGAATCATAGATCTGCCGGCTGCTCTACTAATGGATACGCACGGTGATATGCATTCTGCGTCCGTCGCTCGTAGACGGATACTCGCCGGGTGCGACTATGTTTCTGCGAACGAGGTGTTCAAGGACGCTCCTTCTCGGAGAGCATACTGGAAATCGCGGCGCGTCCCCTTGAGCGGCCTGCATTGAGAATTGAGTTTAGCGAGGGTATTGGGGGAAATTATGTCCAAAAAATCATCTATCGACGAGAGAAGGATTAGGCATTGAAACTCTAGCGATTGTACCTCGATACATATAGCTGCAAGCGGGACGCCCTTCGGTTGCAGCGTCGACGACTGGAAACTAAAGGGAACTCTGCCGCGACCGAGGACCGATCTGTCTACCAAGACCTCCGTCATATCAGCTCGTTCGGTAATTGCTTTTAGGTGTAGCTCAAGGCGGAAATGCGGCTGAACAGATCGGTCCGTCTCGTCGGAGAGGTCGTTCCGGCATACTTCATGGGCTCACGAGCCGGAATCAGATCGGCCTTATTTCCCCGCGACTCTCCGCTGCAACTCTCGAACGAATGCGTCGCTTGACTACACCTCGCACATTCGATTACACAACTTTCGCAACACGCTGGAAAAATCGATAACGGATTCGGTTCGGGTTGATGTACTAGGTGTGAGCTTGTCGCTCATTCCCCGGTGCGCCGTCTCGGTGTCATCCTCGATGGGGGCATGCGATGGCACTTACACCTCGGTCCCATCGCTGGGAGGTATCAGGCTGTCACAGCCTACCCGGCGCGTCTCCGGAAGACTTGCGTCAACACAATGTATTCCTCTGATTCAAGTGTATAGCGCGCTATTCAAACCGATGCTCAATTTTGGATTGACACTTCGGGAGAGCTCCAAGGGTGAGGTTCTTCGCAGCGCGCAGGTACTTCCAATTACGCCTTCGCTATCAGAGCGATCTCAAGTCAGCCACTTGACTCGTTCGGTCACGGTCGAGGCATGCTGCCGACCGCCCAAGATATAGGACTCGTCACCGAATCCTCTGAGAGAGGCACCCTGTGTTTCCAGTCCCATGGACGGCCTCACCGAACTCCTCTCCAGGTATCGTCTACTGAAGCTTTCGACGCGATAGTGCATGAACAATCTGCGTGTATTTAAATGATCCCCAATGACTTAATGTTCAGTAAATAATCAATGATAAATAATTAATGATCTCGAGACCGGTACCGAAATAAATGTACAGAATAAAAGGATTCTGTCGTCTGATTTGGAGAGAAAACAACGTGCAGGATGATGTCAAGCACTCGACCGCATCCTTATCGATACAGATGAATTTCTTCGACACGCAACTTCTCTCAATGGAAGACGGGTCACAGAAAAAAAAAGATCAGAACGCGGATGCTGTGTGTGACAGGAGAAGAATCCGATGCGATTGCGATGGCCCCAGCATGAGGATGGTCAGGATCGAAGTTTTCGATCTTTTTTCCGAACCCAAATGCCACCGCCTGCGGTGGGTATCACAAGTCGCTTCTCCCACGGAATGGGACAAGATGAGACTCAATGAAAACACCAAACGATTCACGTCGCTCACCATCGATAATAATTGGTGTCTATATCGAGATGGATCGTGCGGCACAGAATAGGTAGTGTCAATGACATTCCTCGAGAGGTCGAGGTTCGAGTGGATCTTCTCCATCTTGTACGGTCTCTCCACGTTCGACTCATGATGGAGGAGGGTGAGCTCTCAGTGGGGACGGTGTCCCGCTCGGACAACTCCATCTGTGATATTTTTCGCCCATCGACAGTCGAATGTCTGATTGATTTTCCTTGAAATGAAACGGCTCCAGACAGGGACAATTCAATTTGTGGTCCAATTTGCTCTCGAACGGGCAATCTCCGTGACATGATGGGAGAAAGACGAAACGCGTTAGAAGGTCCCTTACCACCGATTCAGATGCGCGGCATTTTGAAATCCGGCGTTTCTTGCTCTCCGATGCTTCCATATGCCACCAAGAACCCCGTGGCGTAACGTGGCGAATTGGCGCCCCAGGCGGACCTCGAGAATGGCGTCCGTGGCGGATTTCGAGAATGACGCCTATTCTCAAGAATTTCATTTCGCTCGCAACTGCCGAGAACGGCGCCCCCTTCTGAGAGTTTCATATTGAATCCCATTCAACATGTGGAATTTTCATGGGATTTTCCGTTTGGGTGGAAAACTTGCTCCGAGTGCATAGGGGCGGAGCTCTTGCTGCTCCCGCTTACGGAGTGCGACAATGCAGATTCTCGAGCTGGAGTCCGTTAGGGTCTCGTAAGTCGCAGGTTCGTAAGGCTCTTGCTCCTCGGTGAGTTCGATTCTCTCGTAATGCCCTAGCCCCCATGTGGTAACCATGTTGTTGAGGTGATTTGTTCCTTGGTGTTTCGGTCCTGTCTCCAATGCGTGGTCAGTCTTGGATATCGGTGTGATCGCTCCTGGGATTCCCTTTGCCGAGTTCAATCATCCTCACTCATCCACTGATCTCACCGCTAGGTCTATGCTAAGACTGTAGTCCGGCAGCTAAGCCCTGCGAATCTCCCCGGCTTCTCCGTGGAAGCTAGAAATTCCGATCAATTTGAGTTTTCTCAGCTCGGATGCGTCCCCTCCGAGTTTCAGCAGTTTGCAGCGTGGGCTCTGGTCTGAAACGATGGATCCGTCTCTCCTCCCCGTCCTGAGTCACGGAAACGAATTATCACCTCTCCGCCCTCTCCTCCGAGGTCTCGAAGCCTCAGGAACATAGTCTCTTGTACCTGTTGCAAGGAGAGTAAGACTCAGCGTGACGTCGATCGGAGCGGTAGGCCCATAGTGGATAGATTCCTGGACAACAGTCGTGCTTCTAGGCCTCTGACGAAACAGTACGGATTGCGTGCGGGTATCCACAAGACATTCTGTTCTAACTACTGTTCCGAGTTCTTGTGCAGAGCTCGTCTCTCGCTCTAATAACATCGTGAGTGGGTGAGCGAATAATGTGTGAGGTATCCTGCGGCTTATCGACAGCGACCGTGTCTGTGAACGTTGATCGCACAATATGTGCCTTGTCCAGTGCCCAGTCTGGAAGGATCTGGAGAGGCAGATCGCCAGAGACATTCGAAGAGCATCTTTTGATACATGGGACATGGGACCCACCTCTCCAGGCTGGGACTGAGGCGAAGGATTCGGAAATGAGCGATCCTAAGAGCACTGATCTACTCGTGTGATGATGATGAGCTTCCACGCCGTAAATATCGGCTCTCCAGAAAGAATCCCATAATTTTTCCTCTCTATGCTGGATCCACGACCGCACGCGTCCGGGGGCATCCGCACAGTCTGAGAGGTTCCCACAAGGAAGCATACTCAAGGGGGGAATCCTAGACCTCCGGCCGAGTAAATCTTCTCGGAAACCCACCCATCTCGACCTACCTCAAAGCGGATTCCACCATCACGATCAGAGCTTTCACTGAGTAGTAATCACTAATCACATGTAAGTGAATCAAAACATCTGAGCCGATCGTGTTCCTCAACGAAGGCAACGGATACTTGGGTCCTGGATGGAAACTTCCCTATCCTTGTTCGCTCATCCCCAGCATGCACTTCGGAGGCATCTGTTCCGGAGGAGCCGACTCGCATCGATGGGGAATTGTGGAAGGATCGCCGACGGATTTCAGATTCAAAAACAAAGATTCGGCTTCAGAGGGATTACTGTCAACGGGAGCCTTCGCGGGTTGATGAGAGCAGACATTGGTGGATCTGGGATGTCTCCGCAAAATCGCCGCAATCCACTGATAATCCGGTTCCTAGCGGTGGAGCTCGATCTCGAAAATATCCTCCGCTCAAAATCGAAGGTCCGACCTGGAGAAACCATGACTTGGATCGAGGCTGGACCTTGTGCCGCGGAACAGAGATTTCCCGCGCGAAGGGCTCGGTGTACCTTAATGGATACCTGACCACGATCCGATGTGCTAGCTTATGAGTCCCTCGGAACTCTGGATCTCTCATCATGCGAAAAACACAGAGATATCACTACGCAACATCGAGCAATGCTTTTATTTAATGTGCTTATGTACCTCGTTCTATATTCTTTCCAACAGGATGCGTTCCTTTCCTGTATCAGCACAAGTTTTAACGGTTCCGCTGCGCGGTAACGCAAACTTTTGCTTCTCGGGTCGGAGGCTGAACGTCTTGTTCCGCTCAACTACGTGGCCCGTAAGTCTGATTGTTCTGAATTATTGGCTCGTAGCTGCTGCTGCTGTTTTCATTGTTCTCGCCACCTTCCGTCATTCGTCGTCGAGCGGAAGCTGACCAACCCGAGTAAGGCTCGGACTTATATAGTCGTCAGAGGCTCTCGATTCTCATAGCAGAGGACTCGAGATAAGATGTGTATTCATTAATAATAATATTATTATTATTTGAATATCATTCGAAATCTCAACAGTTCTCGTTTCTCTTCATCAGCTTTCATATTGGCTCCAAGACAAGATCTCGAGCAGCAGTTGGTGACGATAACAGTCTCGCGAGGCTTTTCAGAGCTAAAGACTTTATCATGCTTCAAAGGGAGTTTATTGTTCTCACTCAAGTAGCGTAGTGATTTCTTGCTCTCTGATACAGATATGTCTCCTTTATTATCGGTTCGGAAAATTGTTGTCATCATGGTTTCAACTCGGTTTCAGCGAGGAAGCTGATCATTGAAGTCAGGCGTAGAGAGTGCATATTCGATGCAGCGAGTGCTTGCATTTCGACGAGGAACTAGAGGGAAGAGTCGCGAGGCGAAAATTTTCGGAATCGACGTATTCACCGAGTCGACTGAGAATGCAACCAAAATCGCTTAATTAAGCCCCGGTACTCACGGAACAGACGAGTGTCGACCACTCCCGTCGAACTCGTTGTGTTCCGTGAGCTCATATCGGGCTCGATATCGTGTCAGATGAGCGCGCAAGGGATTCGACAGCAGGCGAGAAGCAAGGAACCAAGGGGACGCGGTATCAAGTCAATGACTCGCGCAGTGTTATCGACTTTCGTCGCGGTCAGTCATAAGGAACATCACCATCGTAACGTGTGTGCTTCGAGCGGAGAACTAGGTGCCGACGGGACACGTTTTTTTGCAAATCTACAAGAATCAAAAGCGAGCATTCTATTTCTGCTAACAGCCACCCCTACTACTGAGGTTCCGTGTGGTCGCCAGCACACAGAGCGCGTCGAATAGTTCGTCATGGTTTTTTTAGCTTTAATAAATATTTCTCCTCTTGCCGACCATTGTTGAGACGGCGTCAGACTGTTTTTCCCTTTTTTCTGGCTTTTTCCCTTGCTCCTGATTTCCGGGGGGTCAGACCTGGACAAGGCATGAACTTTCAATGAACGCGTGCTTTGAGATCATCGCCATCTCGGTCGTTTACATTGTCACAGTACAGCTTATCTGTATGATGATCGTCATCAAATGACTTCTATAATCATTATTCGCATGAGTACAACCTCCTTGATTGATCACTACGGTTCGACTGACCATCTTTGACCCGGCACATTCTCGGCACCTCTCCGAAAACGCGTTGGGCTGATCGCTGACATCAAACCGTTCGCTCGATCTTCCGTTCAATGGACATGGATGAACAGCTTTGGAAAGCCCTTTATTTTTCGAACGATTCAAAAAAATACTCTGGCACCTCCCATGAAACTACGCTTCGAAATTTATGTGGAGACAGCTCGCTCCCTCCAAGTCGACTCATTTGGAGTCTGACCTGTTCGTTCGCAACTGAGAATTCGGAAAGAGAGACGGAGAAGGGGTCGAAGGAGTGAACAGCCTCGTGGGCTTGATAGGATATTCGCGGAAATCAGAATGCCATCGGAACCTACGTAGTGATGCTGCTTGAGGGTGGTGCTGGTGGTGGCGGCGGCGGCGTTGGTGGCGGTGCTCGTATCTAGCCGAAATGCAGAAAAACGTTGCGATCGGGACGAGTCCATCTGGACTGAGCTCGGAGCTGCGGCATCTGGAATGAGCGATTACCCGATTGTTCAAGGAGTGATTCAAATTATTTATCGCTTATCGAAAACAATGATAGCGGCGACAAGCGGAAACGCTTCATCGACGGAGTGACCAATATTGAGGTATCAGTCGCCTTCTGGAACCCTTTCTGGCACGAGACGCTAATGCGCTGCGAATCAGAGAATACGTTCCCAAGATCGGATTTCCAGACCCCGAGGCTGCCCGGACTGATTAAGGCAGTAGGGGACGAGACTGCCCATAAAAAAATCTTTCCACTAACCTGGATTGGATCTGAACGGCTGAAACGGTCCAGAAAGTCAGATCCTATGATCGCAGGTGACTGGCTGGGCTCTTCACCGGAGTAGGCGTCGGCTGACCGTATTGCAGGGCTCTTATCTAACATGTTCAACCGATGACGCAACAAAGCCTGAAGATATTGATAGATAGGAATTTCTAGTTTATTACGCTCGAATAATTGTTTAGTCGGCGCTGGATGCTTCGGTCAGTCTACGGAAGATCGACTCGATGGGAGTAGAAACTCAAGGAAACGAGCTACTGCGCAGCGGATTGTTGCTCCGATAACCTTCCGGTGAATCAGAATTAGGAACAAAATCAGGTTCCAGGCCGAAGCGATGGTTTAATTTGAGAGCGAATCCCGCAATAATTGATACCCAGGAGTCGTTCCCGCACGAGAGGTCGATCCTCCTCGTAAGTGAAACTCCCCACGGATGTTGATTGGAAATCGTCACGCACGCTCGATAGAAATGTGGGGGGTGATTCGGAGAATACATATATTGATGCCCCATGGGGCTAAAATGAAATTAATGATATTGCGAGTTTGGGACTTCCTCGTGACGGACACATGGTTGGCTTCACTATTTGCCGATCTTTGACAATTCTCACCTGTTGGAACGGGAGAGATGCGTAGGCGATCGAGAATCTTTTTTGCGAAGCAGGCCGCAGCTCACCAGAACTCTCGCTCTCCAGCGGCTGTGACAACGACCTGAAATAATAACGTTCTACCTCATCTAGAAAAGAGTTTCCCCAAATCGTCCGCCTGTCAATGTTTCATAATGCACACGAGCAAACAGACAAAACACAAAGGACCAACCACCCACGAGCAGTATCTGTCCGCATATCCGCCTGAATACTCGAGCAAGAAGAGAATGCGGAGCGCAAACCGTCACCTCTTTCATAACAAACCGACATTCGCGTATATTTTGGATACAATTAGTCTCGGATACAGGAACGTCCTGCGAAATCCGGCATCGGAGCTTTTTTCGCAATGACTTCCGACGGCGACGGGTACAAGCTCGAGCGCGGCTGCATCGACTCAGCCATCAAGCCCCCAGCTTTGCCACGAAGCTCACGAAGCCGAGCTAGGTGTCTCTGAGAATCTGCCTCCCTGAAGGTATCGAGCTCCGCATGATTTTGCTCCTCGTCCCCCGTTCCTCAGCTGAGAACGCATGGTCGAGATCGATAATACTCCCGCGTCAGGGAGTTCGTCGATGGCTCGACTCAGCGACATTCCCCCGAGTGGACTAGTGCCCGAGTCAACGACGATGTCATCCATCACATCCGGAGGAATCTTCGGCCGCAAAATCGATGCTCTTGATACAGGACTCGAGAACTGCGAGAACTGCTCAGAGACGACATTATGCCGGATGAAATAGCTCGACGGCGATTTTCCATATAAATTGTGATCTCGGTGGGTATCCGAACCGATCTCCCAACGTGTCCATCTGTACGTGGCAACGCCTTCCATATCTTGAGTCCTCCTCTCTGGACGTTCCGCTCAAAAGGAGTCGCACAGGAATCGTTCCAGCACGATCCCGCAAATCGGAATGTTCTCCCGATGCAGTTTGCCCCGCTCATGCTTCGAGAGCGGACGAGTAGCAAGATGTTTTTACACGATGCCTCCCGTCTAACGAGCGAGTTCATCCGCCCCCCCCCCCCCTCATCAGTTCTCAAGATCGTCCTAACGATTAGCTATAGCCCCTCGATCGCGGAATTCTTCCGAATCATCCATCGGGTGAAGCAGAGCCTTCCGGGGACTCGAGCTTCCGCGGTCCGCCGTCATTCTTTTGTTCCTTATCAACTGCGTCTTTGACATCGAGCAAGAGGACGGGGAGCTTCATTAAATTATATCAGTGGAATAGAATGGTTGACATTGAGCGGACATCATTAAAAACTCGATTCCCGTCGCAGCTCAGTCCCTGGGTCCCAGAATCTCCCTGCAGCCTTCTCGACGAGGAAGAGACTTCGGAATTCAGCGGGAAGGCAGCACTTGGAGCATTAGAGAGATCAAGCCGCGCCCCATCTGCCCACTCTCTCTAAGGACATACATATGTATGTAGTATTTGCTCGCTCAAAAGTCGATGGCGCAGGACCATCGGCCGGGTCATCGCTCTTCCATGGAACTTGATGGCTGCTTAGTTCCCTACCGATATCAAAATTCCCATCTGTGTCCTCGAACGCCCAGCTGAATCTGAGCGGCGCCGGCGTTAGAGAAATTATTTCGGCTAAAAACAAACCTCCGCTTGCGTTCCTTCAGGTCCGGATTTAGAGCTTCTTCGTTCGTGTTTTCATCGAAACTAGACGAATCCATCCCGCTTGAAGCTGCGAGAGCTCGTTTCCCGAAGTGCATGAACTTGCTCGTTGCTTTTTTGCCGAAATGCAGGTAACGATTCGGATTGGCGGGACTTCTCTTGAAAAGTTCGTCAACGAATCGATCGGAGTCCGTGACGTCATCGTGGTGCCACACGCGTGCGATGCTGCAAAGACGGATGTTTCCCTGAATTAACGAAAATTCATGCTCCGAGAGCGCACCGTAGTCCGTCAAACACGACATCAGATATACTAGCCGCGGGTCTCCGCATGGATTCGATCTTGGGATCGGTCGTTGACGTTTCTGACGGAAATTCCACCTCAAGCGTGCACGTTCAGATTCACATGAACTATGAAGCAACGTTCTGGGATTTGCGTAAAAGCTCTCGCACTCGGCGAAGGATCAAACATCGGCGCAGGGGATCAAAAGCCGTCAAAAATTCACTCCATCAAACTTGGCGATTACTTAGCTGCCACCCAACTTATTCGGCTACTAAGCCCGGCACTCTAAGACGAGCGAGTTCTGCTGCCAGGTATCAAGGTTTAAAAATGCGACTCTTCTGTCGACTTAGAGGGCAAAGACAGCGCGGGCTCGAAGAGGCGAGCTAAGAACGCAGATACAAAAGAATCTACGCGGGAGCCTGGTGAACGCGTCAAATCTATGCAAAATAGCGCGTTTGGCCTTGTTCCAAGTCGTACGGGGAGAAAGTGAGGAGCTTCCGACGTTCAAACAAACACTCACGAAGCCCTTTGTGGGCAAGTACTCGGCAGTCTTTCCGAACGACGCAACGGAATGCAATCTCCCCTCACCTTTCTGGTCCAGATCTTTTGCCGAAATGAATGAAACGGCTATTCGGTGGAGCTCTCTTGATGAGCTCGTCTTCGATATTCATGTCGTAGTTGACTATGGCGTCCGTTTCTTCGTCGTCTCGTTTGCCGAAATGCATGAATCTGTGAGAGCCCTCAGAGGTTATCTTCGCGTCCGAAAGACCCAATGATAATTTTATAATTTTTCGAAATAAATTCGGCAGCTCCAAGTTCGATAACAGACTAAGAAATCTCCCTCAAACGTCGCGGTTCCCTCCAGCAATCGCGAGAAATTCGGATCCACTGGGTCCGGGGCGACTGATACTCCGACGAAACTCGAGGAGGGGAAATCGCGAATTCGCGGAATTCCCACAGAAAACGTATTAATCGGGGAATCGGGGAGAAGCGAGCGTTGAAGGGCTTGACCCCAGGCCGGCCGCCGAAGCGACTCATGAGATCCATTTCTCTGACAGCCGGTCACGCCGCCAACAAGTCAGACCGTCTGCTTTCCTGCCTAAGTGCCCTTTACTTCGAGAGATGCACTCTGCATGAGTGAGTTACGCCGGAACGGAGGCAAGTTCTCAACTTGGATATTTCTGTCCAACCGGGACAGAGGAATATTCCCAACGAGTCCACAGATTCGATCGACGAACGCGTTGAATTCTCAACAAATACACGGGCCATTCGGTGGTAATGAAAATAATGAGTACGTACTTGCTGGATCTCTTCTCCGGTTCTGATGATTCGAAGTCTCGTTTCCCAAAGTGGAGGAAGCGGTTCGTCGCTCTTTTGCCGAAGTGTATGAAGCGGTTCGGAGTTCTCTTGCCTACACATACAATCTGTTTTGAATCCTGATTTTCTCTGATTGTGAGACACTGTCTCTGATACCTGTCCACCCTATGAGGATTAGCTATGTCCCGAGGGGAGGACTTGAATGAATATAACGAGTCGGTGACTGTAGTCTGATTCCGATGATCTAGTCTCTCTCATTCTACATACGAAGACTGGAACTTTATTTACCGAAGTGCAGTATACGATTCTGTCCAGATCGCTTGAACAGGTCGTTCAATTGGCGTAGCGTGGTCTGCTCTTCAGCATTAAGTGGAATGGTTCGTTTCCCAAAGTGTAAAACACGGCTCTGCCCGCTCTGGCGCTTGACGTCGTTGATACCCTGGAAGATCGCACTTTTCAACATTACCGATCGGAACGCCGCGCCAGACTCATTTCCCCACACTTCTTCCTCAAGCCTGTTCCGAATTCTTTGCGATGCGGCGTCTGGTCGATGTTTCCGCGGGCCATGATCATTCCGAGATAGCCCCGAATCTGCTCCGGATGGAGAAGTGGTTTCTCCCCGGAATGCATCCGATGCCGATCCCGTCCCCGCAAGGCTCGATTCAAGAAATCGCAAAGAATTATGATCCTCACCTTGACTTCGCGTCTTTTCCGTCCGAAGTGCAAGAATTTCTGCTTCTGCATGTCCCGCTTCGCGGTTCCGAAGATAACATTAGAGTCCAGCTCGTCGTTCGCTTCAGAATCCCCGAAGACAATGGAAGCACAGAGCCTGCAACATAATAAGCTTCACTCGATTATCAAGGTGGGAGCTGGAAACTGCCTTCGTCTACTATGTAGTTGACCTCACGGAAGCCAATTATAGAATGTTGAGGGTCGTCAAGAGTTTCTCCGCCGCCCTCGGTCTCGTCATGCATAGAGGTTTCTCCGTCATATGAGGGGCGAGAAAATTACGAAAGGGAACCAGCTATAGATTTTGTCCTGAATAAAATCCTTTCGAACGCGAGGCGAGCGACGCCGCCCATGAATAGCATCCACGAAAGGTCTGTTTTCTCGGACTCTCATAACTTCGAGTTTGACTGAGTCTCATGCATTCTTCCTCAATCTTAATCCACTCTTTGCGCCGATTTATGTGAAGTGCTAGTACGCTTGATTTCACAGGTGCGTGCTTCAGATGCGTTCGCACGACGATTAAATTTCACTCTGAGCAGCGCAGTGAAATAAGACGCGTTGCGTCGACCCCTGCGATTTTTCGAATGATTGACCAAGCCTGGCTGCAAGCCGTTCGCCATATTGAGTTTGGCAGAAAACTCAGAATTCGGAAATTTTTCCGACGTACGCGATGCGTGAACCGATTACCCTCGACAGCAGTCCTGTCGGCTGCACCGAGGATAAGGAAACTCCTCTCGGATTTTCGTGGTGAGCATTCCATTTCAGAGCGCCATTATCCTAAACCCAACAAGAAACTCACGTGACTACAGGCGATTCGATGCTGCTCAAGCTGGCTGGGTCTTGCGATAGGAAATCGAGTAGACTCAAACAATTCTGGAGTGTTTCGAGCTCTGATAGAGGGTTCTCAGGCCCGTCGACAGCGGATCCGGCTGGAAAAATGAAGAGATTCTTCAGTACGGGGACTTGACGAAAAATTTCGTCGCACGCTTCGTGAAAAACTTCCATAGATTTTCTCTCATTGTGTTTGGACGTTATAGGCATTCCTCGATCATGGCCAATATTTGCTCTTCCGACACTCGGGTCAATGCGGATACCGAACGTGAGTCTAAACCATAAAATGTATAGAGAGACTTCATCGTGACCGGTCCGTCCACCTGGATATGAGGGAACCTATGGGATACGGTCGAAATGTGGAGTTGATGAAGCCGCAATTCTTGGAACGTATCGCATCTCGCTGCTCTGAGGGGAGGGGGGGGGGTTGGTTCCGATACGGTCTCGCTGATTGCGTCTGTTCTGATTAAATGAGACATCTGAGAGTTTGAGTGTCAGCGCGCGACTCCAGCATGACTCTCATGGAAGGCATGGGGGAAAATCGAGTTCGCAAGTGTTATGCAAAGTATGTGTATGTCGTGATCACGAATTCATTGTGCTCCATTCGTAAAAATATCGATTCCCGCTTCATGGCGCGGGACACGGGACGTTTTTCTTGATCTGATACGGGCGTACGAAACGAAGTGGACGATATGAGGAGAATACCGCAGATATGAGAACTCACCTTTGAGCTCCGGCATCATATCTTGAGCCTTGGTGGCATGAGCGAGGGTGCCGCAAAGCACCGCGCAAGCCAAAAGGGCTATGGCGGGATGCGAAGGAAGACGATTCCTTTTCATTTACACTGGAAGAAAATTCACCATTAATTATTACAATCTGGAAAAGATCGCCATTTGAGCCTTCTCTCAGCGACGCGGCCGAGCTATAGGTACATATGCAGCATCAGATGAGCGTTCGGATATCACCCACGCACTGGGAAAAGCAGTGTTCCCAGCGCTTTTCCAATGGGAAATCCCTTGGCGCTAGTCCCGCGGCGTGAAGTATCGTGCCCAGTCGAATGAATCCCGAAAAACATGCGGGACTCGGGCCTACGCTCAGACGTCGAGCCGAAATCTTCGCACCGCTATCGTCGGAGAGGGTGAGAATCTGACGGGGGTACAGAGGTCCACTGAGACAACAACGTCACAGCACGTCGCAACCCGAAGACAAAACTTCTCCCTCCGCGGGGCAATTCATGCCAGGCATATATTAGAGGAGCCTCTCTGACTACACCGGGCACTTCTCAGCCCCAGCTGAGCAGGCCGTGTCGGCATCTGCCCGACTCAGTCAGAATTTGAAGTCACGGTCCCGAGCACCCCAGACGAGTAGCTCGGCTGGACAACGGAATCTAAATCGTTCAAAGGTATCCTTCGGGAATCGAGGCGCCGATCGTCACGTCGCGAATCGGGGCCGACCTTTCCCAGCCGGATTCGGGGAGCCGTTACGCAGAGATGGGGTCAGCGCAAAAGCGGAAATGAAGCATTGAGCCTTGCCGAAGCTTTCTTGTAGTCCGGGAGGATCCTCATCCTCAAGCTAGTCCTTAACCTCGAGTCGATACCTCTGTCACGACCTGCGGTGTGGCGTGACTGCGAGAGGGGCCAAGCGGTCTACTTCAATGCTCTCTTGGGCAACGCACAGGCAACGTCGCTCTTGTCGAATCCCTTTCAGCAATAGTTCTTCGCAAGACTGTTCTCGGAACAGGTGTGCGAACTCTTCCCGACAGATAGAGCTTTGTGTGACTTTTCGGGTGATCTCACAGAACGGGCTTTGACGTTCGTAGGCCAGATTGCGTCGATGAAGCTGTTGGAGGCCGGACTTCAGATAACGATAAGACTAGACCAACCATCGCAACGAAAGAAGACCCGCCCCATCGATACAGAGAGTAGAGGTTCATTTTGTTTACATGTTATGCGCGAGGATCTGAGTTCAAAGGTGTCTCCGGTCCAGGACAGTGGCCCCAGATGCGGTCCATAAACAGACAGAACTCCCGAGATGCGAACTCTGAACTTTTCTGATTCACGACGCGATTGCGCGCACTTAAATGATCGTGTCCGGTGCCGATCCAAAACCACCTAGACTGCGGCAAACTTCGAAGGAAACAGTCTGTTCCTCTGACGCAAGCCGCCGCCGCCGCCGCGCCGCCGTCACCGCGAAAGAGAGTTCCTTGAACCAGGCGGGCGAGCGGACGACCCACGGAACGACCGACCGAGATTTCCCAAAAGCTGTCAGCATCAGAAGCGCTCTCTGAAGTGGTTCATGGCACGGCCATTGTGAGGCCGTCGATCCCCGCACTATATGTCACTTTTCCATGGCGTTGAACGGCTTCGCTAATTAGATAGGCCAAACGTCATTCGTCCTCCTCCACCCGATAAGATAAAAGCAGTCCTTGCCGGCCGAGAGGACACATGTGGAGAAGCATGGAGTAGAACTTTTTCCACGAAAAAGATTTCTGCGAAATTCTCGCGGTCTGAGCCGCTCGGGAGCGAAATTCAAAGGACGATTCGAGCACCCCTACCCAATTGAACGAAATCGAGCCCAAACTGAACTCCGAGCGTCGACTGTTCGTTCTGATCATGTCGCGCCTTGAGGGGAATCGGCTCCGATGCGCGCCTATGTAGTCTCACAAAGATTCTCGAAAGCTACAGCGAACGTATTTTCCATCCACTCATACATTCGACGATCATCCTTTCTGAGGGAGGAAAACTCGATAGATACCTTCAGGAGCACCAAAACTATGAAGCATCTTCAAGTCCTTCAAGAGCTCTTGACTGAGGAGCGAGTTGAAGATTCGATCCCCGAGTTCTGACTTCGCGAGACTTTCGCATCGTTTCGGTCTTATCGGAGCCGACAAGGCATTGCAAGGCTAAGGTCACGCAATTGCCGTCCATTCGGGGCAAACCCACGGTCCCCGTATGAGTCCGCAGTCGAAGAATGGACCGTGGAATGTTTTCGACTCGGGATGCAATAGTATCCGTCTCGGAGTGGTCGATCCATCTTATGACTGTTGGCTTTTCTTCCCCGCTCCCTCGATACAAATATCGCACGCCGTCGTAATGACTGATGACGTTTATCGCGCTCCGAGTTCAGCGACAGGTAGCTCCCATTCAAGAATGCCGAGCTTTACGGAGCGGCGCCAAGGAAGCTCTAAACGGCGCCGTATCGGAGACTCACACTAGCCGGATCGTCGGCAAGGGTTACACAGAACAGACAAGAACAAAATTTGTGATTATTCGGGGTCGTCGGCGTTGCACCGGACTCTATCGTTGGAGATATCGGCGGTATATTTTCTCTATTCTTTTGCTCGTCGGAAATCTTCCATGCTTGCGGTCGGTTTCCAAGGAGCTGGAAGCAGTGTTTCTGAAAATTCGAATCGGGACCGGGCCGAGCTGCCGTTTGAAAAGAGGGCACATGCCGCTTGTCGCCGCTTAGTGCGCTTGGCGCGACTAAAAATAAACTGAACGCGTTTCGAATCGGATTTGAGTTTCCAGAGGTCGTTCCTACGGAATATCGACGGCCGGCATTGCGATACCACACGGATAGCCGTAAACCGGAACCGGTACGTAAGCAACTTGAAACGGCGCACGGTATTAGCGGGGCGGGGAACGTGCATCTTATGAAAGAGCAGAGTGCATCATCAGCATCATCGCTGCCCAACCTGGTCGGAGCACTCACGTGAGTGAGGTGGTATGCCCGCTTGTCGGCTAAGCCATCTACGAGTTCGTATATTGAAGCCACTCACTCAAGTCTCTGGGGGTTTTCCGTGTAACCAAACTCCGATTAATAGTTCCTGTTGCTTAATATCACGTCGAGTTTCTCATCAATGCACCACACCAAAAAGTCGCGCCGTGCTCGTTGGAGCATGTCGACCAAAATAAAAGAACGCAAGATAGTGCGCGAACTGTCTCGGCCACGGCACTCTCTCTCTCTCTCGTACGTTTCCACGTTACGGAAACCACAGCCTGAAATGAGGAGGCTCTTCATAGTTTTTTCCACCACCACCACCACCACCGCTCCAGCCGCCGCCGCCGCCGTCATCATCATCATCATCAAAGCCGTAGGAGCGCTTGGTTGGGCGCTTTGCTGGTCAGCGTCCCAAGGGCGGGACAAACAACACTCAACAGCTAATTGAGCCTTTCCGTGAAGACGTAGCATCACGTTGACTCAGCGTCGGGAGGTGTATCCAAGAGGAACATAAATGACGAGCATGCGGTCAGCTACATCCCAGTCGAAACCGAGAGTTTGGCCGATTTCTCTCAACAGCGGCAATACCGCCCTTCCGAAGATCGCTTGCCACCCTTTTTGACGCGCGTAGGGAGCCGGCACGCGCAGCAAGTCCCTGTTCCTCCACGAGCAGATAGCCGGGGCTTCCCAATGGGGAATAGAAGATAATTAATCGATTCTTCCTCCCATTAGAGAATTTCGGGGATATCAGAAGGAATCCTAGACCGAGCTTGAGCCTTGGAAGGATCCCGCGTAGCACGGCGAGAATCCTTACCCTCGTGCTATGGGCATTGGAAGCATCTTTCCCCGTTTTCGCACCACATTCGTCTCTCCCCATTCATCCTGCTGCCGTAAGCAAGCGGGGGAACAATGAGGATCCAGATCGCCGTCGATCCATCGATCAGTCTGAAATTTCAGGAGGGCAAGGCAAATTCATGAGCAGAGGCCGACGTCATTCGGACGACGCGGGAATATCCGGTGTTAAGCTCGCTCGTCGGATTCCCGGATCTCGGGACTTGATGGTTCCGAATGCGGAAGTTCCTGGAGGTCGCGAGCTTTCGTTCAAGGCAATCAACTTTCCAGAGACCGAAACGAGCCTCATTCGTCAACCTTGACAGTGGGTGGGTAGAGGGAAGATCACGAAGTGAATTAGAACTTTTCAAGCGACAGAGCAGATGTTCAAATCATTCGTTATTCATCGGGGTCTCCTGCAAGCGCGCCGTCTGGCCGCTCTAAGGAAGTTTGCAAGAGCTCGAGCCTCCGCGCGGGTAGAATCTCCAAGAATCTTCAAGAATAGAACGATTATCTTCCGAGATGAGCCATCGTTGGGAGTCGACCGAGGGATTGAGCAAAGTTTATCCGGGGCCACCTTATTTAGTCCACAAACTTTCTGAGAACCGCCAATGCTCCTTCCGGGTTCGCTCGGAACAACAGAAAAAAGGTGGCTTGATCCTCAAATCACGTTTTTCTGATTCAGAGAGATCCGAGGCTCCATCGGCCTCCTGGGACATAAATCAATCGGATTCTCAATCATCGATTCTGTCGACGAATTTGATAGCAAAACCTCGACCACGCATACATCGATATCAGAGAATGGCGTTCGGACATGCCCAAGACCCCTATCGCCGTCATTGTGCCCCTCTATGCGGATCGGAGTAACATGGAGCGCATGGAATTATTAGCGCGGGATACATCGAGGATCGAGACCCTCCTTAAGGCGACACTTATGAGACACAGGGAAGGGGGCGGGGCAGAACATCGTGGCGAGAAACTGTCTCCAGATGATTTGTGTGATCGTCGACGAGAGTAGGTCTTGATCGTGAATTCCCGGAGAAGGAGTTAAGCTCCAACAGGGAACTCACATGCATCTTCGTCACGACGAACCACGTAGTGGAGCTATTCGCCTGTAAACAATCAAGCAACTATCCTCCGGGAAAACGCCCCGCTCATCGAAAATCGCTTCGCGCGATGCTCCTGTGATGGGAACATTACGTTCAACTAGGGTGTCTTCAAGCGGTCCGGGAGACAACATCGAAATTCCCTTTTCGTCGAAGGCTTTGACAGATGCTCGCCGGTTCGAGTGCAATTACACGGTTCTTCGAAAGGAGCCGGAAAGTGTGAACGCGCAACCTCTCACTCATGCGCTGACCGGCTCCATTGTCGACTCGCTGTTCATGAGTCGGCAGGCTCAAAGCTCTCTTTCTTTCCGAGATAAAAAAAATCGCGCAGACTGCTTGGCAGCGAAGCTCGTCTCGCGTGAACTCGAGATGCGTGGAAAGGGACGGCTACCGATAGTCACCTGTGATGACGGAAATGAGACGGAATCGCGTCGATTTCGACATTTCAAGGAGCTCGCTCGGTTCGCCTGAGGCCATGTTCGGCCCGCTCGACCACCGGAGACACGGTCGGCATCGATGGCACGAGGTCGGAATCGATGCAGACACCGCGGAAAATCGTCTACAATGCGTGATTTGCCTCTAGAATCATTTGGTTCCTCATAGGTAATTGCGACGTCTCCCGACAACGCTTTCGAGACAAACGAAAAGCCAGCCCGTGGAGAAAGGCGTTGGTGCGCTACGTAGGACATTGGGAATTAGAGAGGGGGATCGCACAAAGAGACCGCGAGATAAGTTTCGAGAATAAGATGCTGAAACGACCTTGGCGAGACGTAATTTACGATGCGCACCAGTCGAGTGAGACTTTGCGATCGAGACTGAGGACAGTGGGTCGGGAAAGCCGCTGTTTTCGTTTCCAGATGCGCAGCTTCCAGGTCTGTGCCGGGAGCGATTCGGGCCGATTTCCTGCTCCGTGGAAATCGTTTTCTGCCAGAACACTCACAACGGATATCCAGGAATGCTTATGATATGCCAGTGAGTTTAGGCCATTCAATGGCATTTTGCGAAATTGCGTCCCAACGTGGGCGTCGCAATTCACGATTTTTGAGCCCTGGACCGAAGCTTCCAATAGTATTATTCCCTCCGATGCTACAGACTGGACGTGGTCTCCTTCCGGGACATCCTTCTTTTAGTTTGCTACCGAGAACATATTTGAGGGACTCGTGCTATAAGCTGTTCGTGGAGGCATTCCAGCCTTTGCTCTGCACCGAGAAAAACGCATTACCAAGCAACAATATCCATTGCGAGGGTATCGTTAGCACGCGTTAATTACAGCCGTACTGAGCTCACGGACTGTTGCAAGTTGAATCTGTGTTGATCGAAACCGTTCACAATCGACACGGTTCTACGAGTCGCGAGTCTCGAGGCGCGGATCCTGTCCAACCGACCTAGCCCACAATAGGCGAATCGGTCTCGGATCCCGGCACTTTGAGAGAGTTCAGACTCTGTCCTCTCGTCGCGCTCCGTCTCGAGCGATCGCAAGAGTCCAGCGCTGCTTTTAAGCCCCTTCATTGCCTCCTGATATCGGAGCCGGACTCCGTCATCCACTAAGCCAGTGACTCGACATGACGATGAGACATACGTGTAAGACCAGCGTCTGAACACCCATCTCTCCTTTCGAGAAATAAGATTTTTTCTTTGGATTTCCTGTAATCACGATTCCATTGATCAGTTTCGGCTCTCCGGGGTTACATGGATCTTTGATGTCTGCCTGAGTCCGCTTCGATGGACGCCATGGCGACCTTCAATGGGAAGGATAGCTGCGACCTGTAGACACCATATGGTACATTCTCTGCTTCGATTCCAAATGAGGTGGAGAGATTCCGCGGGACGCCCCAGTTGTGTTTTTGGACTCTTCTATGCCACGATTGATGTGTTCCCCGCAACCGAAGTTGAATCGAGAGAGAGTTCGTCTAGAGGCTTGCTCTCATGCGGCTCTGGAGAATCGGCGGGATTTCATCCTCTCGGCTCGATTCATTCAGGCAAAAACGCATTGGTTACTCGCTCTCGAGATCCCTTCCCGCGGAACCCACGTGGGAAAGTTCAATTAGAATCTTTATCGTCTCGCCAAATTGAAAACTTTCACGCTCAGAACTTGCGGTCTCCTCTGAGCTTAGGTCTTTTCTCTTGGCGCCGCTCTTTCCACCGCCACGCGCCGCCGTTGTGGGTCGCGAGGGAACGGCGGTTCGAATGCAAGGCTTGGGAGAGTGATATTGCTCCAGTCATTGGCATTCCTGTACGTGCATCGGACGAGGAGCGAGCGGGGGAAAAAGAGATAGGAATCAGCGGGAATCGAACATGTTTCTTGAGTTTCCTGAATTTATGCCGCGGCGGTGTGTATTTATCTGAATTGAAGCCCCGCTGATCTGTCAGTCAGGGTCTCGTCCGGTCCATGATTAGAGAGATTCAATCCGCAGAGTTTCGCGGATGTATTCGGGACAAACAAGACGCCATCGAATTCCGATTTAAGATTGATCGTGAGAAACGGTCGCCTTCAGCATCGTCTCACGTTCCGTGATCTCGGTAATCTGTCCAGCTTGCGTCACATTCAGAGGTGCCTCTATGGGCGGATCTTCGTTTTCGATTCATCGGCTTTCATTTCCCCTCTATCCGCTAAAAACGGAATTGGAAGCTTCCACCACTCCGTGCGATGCCTCATCGCTCATCGTCATTGAGGCTACATGAAGCCTTCGCTGACCAGAAGAGACCCAGGAGGAGAGAGAACGTTCCCTATGGCCCAGGCTGGTCTCAACGACGGTCGCGGATCCGAAGAGTGACGATTGAGCTTGAGCTCGTTCGACAACATTGAGGAATATTCACTCTCCGCGACCTACTCCGCTCCAGGAGGCGCTGTCCGCGGTGACGTTCAACAAATCTACGAGTTCCGCAGAAGAAGGCGGGATCTCTACCGTTTCGCAGCGATGGCTCGCTGATTCGGCTTGATCGTCCCTAATCGGTGGAATTTATTTCCGGACGAAAAAAACTCGAGGACGTCCGGATAATCTTGGCTTGCACTCGATGTGGGTTTCCTTCTGAGAGGCATTCCGTGTCCCACCGAATTGAAGCGCTCGGAGGCCAAATACATTCATTTCAGAATTCCCCTGCTCCTCAAGCTGCTCCCGGGTGACGGAAAAACCGCGTATCCATTAATTGAGAGCCAAACTTCGATGGCTCGATCGTCGTCGAAGGTTTGATTGATTGATGGATTGAATAATGCTTCATTCCCTGAAGGAAGTCCAACTGCGGGGACGTAATCGCCGGGAACCCGTTCCTTGAAAATCAAGCGGAGCGCAGTTTTCGGGGATGGGAAGCCGCCTGAAATTCGCTGAGCCGACATGAAAGGGCCTCGGTTTTGGCTACATATACTCATACTTGAACCATGTGAAATCATATGTAGTGGAAGGAAACCCCCCGCGAACTTATGGTTTCTGCTCGAGCTTGTTCTCTTTTCGGGTCGACGACTGTGGCGAGAATATGCTTACGCACGAGACTGCAACATCAAAGCGCAGCCTCCATCAGAGAAGGCTCCTTCCCGGGAAAGGCCGAATTGGAAGTTGGGAAGCAAATACCAATCGCATAGTTCGATTACTATTCAAAGATGCAGTCTTCCCACCGCCCTCGCGCGAGCAAGCTCCGTAACGTGGTCGAGCCAGCCGAGGAAACTCGGCGGGTTTCCGAGGCTGAAGCGATACTCAACGCCGGGGGAAGATGCTTTATATTTAATTGAGATTAGCGAAGCATATCGTATCCTTCTCTCCTTTAATGTTGAAGTTCTGAAGCCAGCCGTGAGCGAGAGGCTGCCGCCGCCTTTGTCTTCGAAGAACGGTAAGGGCCGTAGCCGAGGGCCTCCGACTATGCAGATCCGATTGATCGAACACTTTCCCGGGTCACAGGGAGTCTTAGTTTTCGAGCCATGGAATGATATTCCGATCGATCGGGGGCACGTATGAGTCCATCCGAAGGAATAAGGTTATACAGGGTCAAGCAGATGCTGGGGGAGAATTCTGCGGTTCCAAAGGTTACGTATCAAAATTACCCGCCGCAGCGCAATCGTGGTGCGTACGCTAGATTTGGGAAACGCCCACGCGTTCCCCTCGCGAGAGCTCCGAAAAAATCTGGGCGTCCAGCCTCCTCTCCAAGCGGGAGAAAATCATCAAGGTCATCCGAGTCGTTCCCGAAATACGCTCCGACCGTCCGCATCATTCTTCCGTTGCCGAATGAGGGATGGCATTAGCCTCGCGAATCCACGTCTCTTCCCAGTATGTTCAGACTTTTCACCTTTCAAGCAGGTCCACAATACCCAATAGCGCTTGGGGTGACTCTTCTAGGAACCAAAAGTGAAAGAGAAACATTCATTCTCGTGCGAGTCTAACGCGAGCCGTGCGGCTCTCGAGAGGGTTTGTAGAGCTCGCGGCGAACCAGTGTTTACAGATATTCGTCCCTTGCATGGACAATCGTTCTCTGTGTGGGTCGACACCTGCAGTTGGCACGGACGCCGACGCTTTCTTTTGTTTGGCATTCGGATTAGCTCTAGCAGATGGTCAACAGGCAAGTGCTTATGTCACTAATGCCGCGCGCAACTTTTGCCTTGATTTCTGCGGTAGCCCTGCATATGATAGCAAAAAGTTTAGGCTCAACATTTTACCAAGTGCAACTTCCGCCGGTAGACTTCCGCACAATTCTGTCCCGGTCCCACGGGCTCCGGAGACTTCGGAGAGTTCTCCAGGAACCGAATTCTCAATGGAGCGTCCCGGAGAACTTCGCTGGGACCGATCGGGAGAGCGGAAACCGGATAATTCCAATTCGCATGGACGATTTCCCGAAAATGTGTACGGATTCGAGGATGATGAATCACGGGATTTATCGTGATCCAGGAACTCAACACGACTCGAGGTTGCTAATATCCGCTCAGTAGGTGCATGATGAATGAACCTCGGATCAATAGAGCTCGGATTATGGTCGTATACGAAGAGTAGACAAGATGGAGACAAACCCCGGAACGGTAGACGAATCGATGGAGAGCTCAGACAAACCGGCAGACTTGAGGAATAATATAATACGAGCCGGATTACAGCATCGTTGGGGAAGCCACTCGTAGAGAGAAATTCGTTTGTCGATGCGGCAAGATGCTCGCATACAAGCTCGCTTGGAAGCGACCGAGAACCTGCCCATTTAGTCTGGATTTCCGTGAAATTAGCGCTTAACAGGGAACCGTCGGCAGTGAGGACTGAGAGGAACGAATAGCCTCTTCAGATTTCGGAGTAAACATGGAGAAGCGAGGGCTGAACGAAGGTCCTCTCTTCAGTCAGAGGGCAAAGAGCAACCGGATGCACATCGGAATCGCCGTTAGATCATCCGCAGTCGTGATGAATATTCGCAGCGCTGCCCAAAGTTACTCACTCTCGCAGTTAGAGGTAAGATAGGCCCTCGACGAGAAGATTTCATCGATTCGTTTTCCGGAGAGACGCTGGAAAAGCCGCGACCAAGTCCTCTTTCGCTTAAGGCTGCTCGCGAATTTGCTCTTTCAGACACGCTGCAAATTCGACGGTGTTTCCACGACATCGAGTGAAGGCAAGAGCGGACGACAGTTTTGTGTCTTCCTCGTAATACTCTGCGTATGCGCTCTGGTTATAACCGTAATTGCGCTGACTGTGATGAGGCACAGAGTCCCGGAAATGCATTCGGACACCTCTGCCTCGGAAGATCGCGAGATGATGCACCGCTTGAGTTATGAAGTTTTGAAACGGACGAAACAAGGTGTTAACGAAATCGGGAGCGAAGATTCGGAGAAGGTGACGCCGCGAGATTGAGGTCGACCGTGTCCAGGGCCGCTAAGAATCGAGGGATCGCTCCTGCCTCCAAACAATGCGTCATCCGTTTCACTTCCTCATCAGCTCAGATCTTTGGTTCGGGTCGCTAAGGCACCGTGGATGGAATCGGAGCCCCGCATCTCGCAAGCCCTTGAATTCTGCTTGTCCCAGCTTGGATTTGTTCGCGGGCGGAGTTCGGGTGGACAAACTTCGGCTACCTTCATGTACGCACACCTTACTCCGAGCTCCAGAGCAGAAGGAGCCTCTAACGGAGACGAAGACAGAATAAAGTCATGTGCATTCACTCCTGCCGTCCTTTGAGTCGAGAGGAACCGGAAGAAACACAGCTTCGAAGACTTTCCCGAGCGTCCCTCTGCGCAGAAGTCCCGTCAAAACAGCTGAGCAGAAGTTTATGGTGAGAAATCGAAATTCAAGCGTAGAATCGAGCTGGTTCCGCATCGGGATGCTCGGGAAAGATGAGAGTGCTCTTGGAAAATCTATCGAAGGCTCCAAGCATCGGACGTCGGACTTTTGCAAGGAACGATTCGCTCCCGTTCATTACGTCATGCATTGCGCGTCATAAGAGGACTCATATTCTTAGACGTGTGACGGTGAGGACACCAGACGGAAATCCTATGGAGGGTCTGTAGGAGGCTGCTCGCCTCGTTGTCTTGGGGAGATTCGCTGTGAGTCAAGAGAGTTTCTGCGGCTCTGCGGAAGATTCCGTTTTAGCATGCTGACTTGTGATTGCGCGCGTATTCCCTGATAATGCGTGCAATAGGGCTGTGTTCCGTGCAGCTGGCGGATTATTGAGGGGATGCAGCAGGCCATCGCTCATCGGGGTGTAGGTGTCTGCCTGATCAGCGTGTCCATCTTCTGCTTGAGGCCAAGCATTCGACCTCCTGATCTTCGACGGGGGAGAGCCCTAGACCTCTAAATTTCGTGCTCACGGAAGGCTCTTCCTTGTGTCCCGGAGCCGTTTTGAATTTGCTGTCCCCATGGTTGCCTCCTCGATGGAGAATGCTCTTCCGAGAAAATTCGGTGATCTCCTCCAGGGCAAGGATGGCTCTACCTCGTTCGAGAACCTCGTCGCTGTCGTTGCAGGGAGCTCGAGGAAATGTTATGAACTATGAGACCTCCATGAGCTACGAGCCCTCTTAGAACTCTCGTGCCAAAAGCTCTGATCCATCAGATTCACTACAACATATCCGCGGCGGGACATAGAGCGCTGACCCCACCTGGATCAACCGGCAGGTCCACGAGACTATGGATGTCTCTCAGCGCTAGTCTAGATGATCTAGAATGCAAACGATTCCTTGATGTGCAGTCATGTGCTCATTACTGCTCCCTCGTACACTCGATTGCAACAGTGCCCAACGGAGAGCTCCTCATGACCTCCAGCTGAGGAGCTGTCTCTTAAGCCGCTCCCGTTCTGACATTATCACCACGAAAGCCGCGACTCTAAAAGAGATGTTGTGATGCGTGCCGAAACCCCGCAACAATCGCCAGTTGCCGTCGCGAGTTGCTGCTGTTTAAACATTCATGTCCCATGCAGCGAAAAACCGGGGGCCAAGAGGAGTCAACAGGCTCACCTCTCACTGTCCATCATACCTCGTGTTCCTCAACCCAATTAGTGGATTGCATACCGCCCGATGAATGCACTTATGAGACAACAGGACAGGAGGCAAGGTGACTCTTATGGACGCGGAATATATTTATGCATGGCCACCGATCGGGCTACTCGGCTAGGTCTCTCTTCATAAGCTCGCCGAGTCCTCATGATCGATGGCATTCGTCACGCGCCGAGCGACGGCTCCCTAAGCGAATAAGTTTCGGAAAAGATTCCCCTGACGGGTTAGCGCACGGATTTGAATAAAGATATGCGTGAGATTCCCGTAAGGGAGATTCGATCTCGGTTTCCGGGAGAGCGAGCATATCGTCGCTCTACCTAGGGACCTGCTCTTCCCGAATCAACCGATGGAAGTAGTACATCGGTCACGCGCGAGTCGTCCAGGAATATGATTGTTTTCAGCTCCCTCATTATCCCAACGCGCCCCCGATTGTACAGTTGAGGGACGGCTCGGTACTTTCCCCTTGCGTCCATGCCATCAGAGCCTCGATCTTGACGAATCCATCGAGTTCTTGATGAGCCCTCGGATCACTCATTGAAAAACTCTGTACAGGCATTAGTTCCTTGTGAATTACCGTAGTCAGGGGGGTAGTCGGAATACGCATGTGGGTCAATCGGAACTCGGGCTGATCGGCGCGAGTCTTCGGGACGGAGCTCGAGGTCTTAGGTGCATGCAGGTATGAATATGTCACATTGCGATTGAAGAAGCTCCCCATCCTCAGATCAGATACTGCGACTGAATCAACAAGTTGCATTTCCCCTAGATCCTGCATCCAGCGATGCCACCTCGGTCCCTGATTTAGAAGTTTAAGTGCGCAGTGTACGCGCCGGAGGAGCGATCCCGCCGAGGGATGGAAATTTTCGGAGGCTCTCAGCTGCTCCGATCGAGGCAGAGAAATGATCAGGTAGTGTTGACCGATGGGATGTCGTGGGAAGGCGCAGCGTGGCGTGATATCCGTCGACCTCGATCCCAACGTACTTCAGCAGGAAATTGTAGAGGCAATTCGTTTTCCCGTCACACCTGGGCTGTGGCATCCGCTGTTGGAACGGAATAAACAGCTCCCATGAAGCTCAAACGCTGGATGCCCATCATCAACGATTTCAGGTTCCGGAGTCGTCCTAATTCGTGTTCGTATCGCTCGTGACTCTCCCGCACCGAAATGGGCGGCGATTGGGTCGCGAAACGTCTATGGATCACGGGAGTATACCGGAACCTCCAGATCCCGCTCAGAGGTCCGGACGTATCAGCTCGGCGTAGTTCTGATTCCGATCAAACATGAAGAAGCGAGAACATTTTTGCGCGGAGATCCCGAGCGTATGCGCGGAGCATTCGTCGATACGGGGCTTCACTGCTCCCCACTGTCATGGAGCCGCTCTGTTGCGGCGACAAAGTTATTCCGTCAACGTCCGAGCATTCATGCGGTCAACAATTTTACAAGACACGCAGATATAAAGAGATCAAGGACAACGACTTTATGACTCAATCGCTGTATCTCCTCTTTTCCTATACGACCCGAAAATAGAGAATCACGAGCTAGGGATCGACGTGGAGCTCAATGAAAATCACATATCTCGGCTCTCCGGAATCCTCTCAATGATCGAAAAGCGGTCGATTTCCGACATCGGCCGTCTTCTTGAGCGTTGCTCTTCCCGCAGGATCGATTGACAGGAACGGTTCCCGAGTCCGTGAATGATCGTGCCCGGTCGAAGTAGTATCTCTTTCCTCGTGAAGAGAGACGTTACTGGGTGCGGACTCCGATGGATCGAAACTAATCGAATAAACTCGGAGAAGTCATCCAGTTGACATAGGTTAGCATCGAGTCACGCCATCATCTGTGAATGGATGATGTGTCGGGCAGGTCGCTCGATGGGACGGTCGTGAGGACCGAGATCGAGGTCCCTTGTCTGATAATTAGGGATGTAAATTTTTCGCGGAAAATTTCCGCCAAATTCGCGGAAATTCGCGGCCTTCATTGAAACTCTTGGGGGAGGAGCCGGAAATTTCCGTTTTCAGCCCTACTGATCACCATTGGGGGCGGACTCGCGATGGAATGGAACATCACGAAAGCTGAATTTCTGCGGGCATACTTCGAGTGGATGCGCGACTAGAATGTCTCTCGTCAGTAGATGTTGAGGTGAACGTTTAGTTTATAAAGGAAGCCCGTAAAAGCGATAGACCTGACGCATCTGAGACGCGACGGGTGACCCAGAAGCCGATGCATTGGAGTGGCTTGAGGCGGGGATCTTGTCACTTACAGTCGAACGCTCCGTGTCAGCCCGGTGGGAACAAAGCCGGCTCTTCGGTAGAGCGATCGGCGACAACAAGAATGAATAGGGTGGACAAGGAGAGAATTAAAGCGCCTCCTACCAAAGAGTCACAAAGGAAACATCGACAATCTCGGCACGACGGATATGTGGCACGACGGTGTCGCGACTATGCGCTCTCGCTGTATATGGCTAGACGAAAAAAGTCCGATAAGGAAGTCTTCGCGGGGCTCGATTCAAACGGGTCAGTCGACAAGCACTCACTGACTCAGACGTGGGTCAACCCTCATAGAGCCCACTCAGGCAGTAATTGCGTCTTGATGCAAGCTCTCGGTGGAAGTCGTCGAGTATCGGCAGTCGAAACCTACGACAGCGGGGATGTTTCGCAATATTATGATGAACGATCTTCCCCAATTTTCTACTTCCACGATGAGGCTCAACGACACTTGCGGATCCGGAGTCGAGCTGCGAGTGGAAACGATTCTCGTCCCCACACTGTGCTCATGGGATTTGTCTTTCGGAGGGCAGTACGAAGGAGTACTTGACGATCGCATGACCCCTTCCTCTTGCTGGCTCATTTGTTCAACAACTGTTTTTCAACGTCGAGAACTGCTTGATACCCGTCTCAGTAGCATACGATATCGTCGATTCCGAGCTCGATTATAGTGGAGTCCTTTTCGGGGGCGAGCGAATCTTCGGCACTCTGACTTCCGTTCATTACATCCTAGACTCGGATCCTGAGAACGCGACGGAACAATTAGTGATGGTTTTCCGTGGAAGGCTGCATTCATTAGATCGGAACCGGAAAAAGCAGCGAGACAGTTTTCGAGGTCAGCACGACTGGTTGTTGTTTTTTTCGAGGCTCGAGACCGAGTTAGAAGCTAATTGAACCGCGCGCGGGGAGACCGGCGAAAGCAATATTATAGAATTAGTTTCTTGATCCTATTTCCTCCAGGATCTGTGACTTAGTGCGAGCTATAAAGGTTCCGCTGCCTGAGAATACCGCTGGATCCGCCTGGATGACGATTGCAGCCGAGCAATCGTGAGAAATATTTGTCGTCTGCCTCGATGCGCCCGCAGAACTGACCTTTACAAAGAGCGTTATCAGCATGAATGCTGTATGACGCACCTGTCGCGGGAGGAGACACGATCAGTCAGGGAAACTCGCGCTATCCTCCACAGTCCCTGCGGAATCGATCGCTTTAAGGCTC